CTGGTTGAATGCAACAGGCTGGAATTAGATAAACTTGAATAGAGACCCTAATATTCTAAAATGTCTGCCTGTTTATTGTTTTAAAGCAATGTGGAAATCCAGATTTACCAGAGATCATTTGTATAGAAAGGATGGAAGAGCAGTTTTAATTATCTGAGGTTCATTAACAATACTCACAATATTGAAATAAAATGTCACTTTCCTTTTTATATTTGGAAGCATATCGCTTACTTTTTTTATTCTTTCCTTTACTGGAAATTGAAATAATTGTAAACTATTCAGAAGTTAGTAAGGGAGCAAGGCAGAAAGTCCTTCTGGCCTCATGATTTTCCTTGATTCACCCATTCAGTCCTTATAACTTTGAGGAAAAAAATGAAATAGGAAATTCTCGGCTGGTCCATTTGTAGGATTTAAGCTCTGATTTCAGACCAGTGTAAGATCTCCTGCTTCATTTATACAGATAGTCCTCGAATTACAACCACAACTGAGCCCAAAATTTATGTTGCTAAGTGAGACGTTTGTTAAGTGAATTTTGCTCCATTCTACGACCTTTCTTGCCACAGTTGTTAAGTGAATTATTGCAGTTGTTGAGTGAATAGCACATTTGTTAAGTGAATCTGGGTTTCCCCGTTGTCTTTCTTCTCAGAAGTTTGTAAAAACTGATCCCATGATCCCAGGACACGGCAGCCCTCATAACTCTGAGTCAGTTGCCAAGCATCCAAATTTTGATCACGTGACCATGGGGATGCTGCAACAGTCATAAGTGACAAAAACGGTCATAAGTCACTTTTTTCAGTGCCATTGTAACTTTGAACAGTCACTAAACAAAGTCGAGGACTACCTGTATTATCCTTGTATTAGAGCTTTATATATTTGCTGCAGGGAGTTTATAATATCTTTATTAATGTTATTAAGACCCAATGTATGGCTGTGAAAGCTGGCCATAAGAAAGGCTAAGCGCAAAATAATTGAGGCCTTTGAACTATGGTGCTGGAGAAGACTCCTGTGAGTCCCCTGGACTGCAAGGCGATCAACTGGTCAGTCCTAGAGGAGATCAACCCTGGCTGCTCTTTAGAAGGCCAGATCCTGAAGTTGAAACTCATGTACTTTGGCCACCTAATGAGAAGGAAGGACTCACTGGAGAAGGGCCTGATGCTGGGAAAGATCGAGGGCAATAGAAGAAGGGGATGACAGAGAATGAGGTGGCTGGATGGAGTCACTGAAGCAGTAGGTGCGAACTTAAATGGACTCCAGAAGATGGTAGAAGACAGGAAGGCCTGGAGGAATGTTGTCCATGGGGTCGCAATAGGTCGGACACGACTTCGCAACAACAACAACAAGACCCAATTCTTACCTGACAGCTGCTATTTGAAGTAAGAATGTGAAAATGACACAGGAGGCTATTGGATTGGATTGTACAACACAGGTGTACAAAGGCCATGTGTAGCCAGGGCACCTTCCAAGCAGCTTTTGCTATTGACGAAAAGGTGGCAGCGGAAGACTATTAAATTCATATAGTATTGGCTATATTTAATTACTCTACTTTTCTTTTAATTGCAACTAAATGAAATCCATAATTTGATGTGAAGGCTCTGCCTTTTTCTTATTTGCTTGCTTTTTTTTTTTTATAGAGCTCCTGGTGTACAGTATATACAGAACCTTTTTAGCAGCTCAAATGAAGCCTTCAGGTTATAATGTGAACTTCAGACAAAGAATAGCAGTGCAGATAGTCCTTGTTTAACGACAGTAATTGGGACCAGAATTTCCATTGCTAAACAATGCTCTTGTAAAGCACAACATCATGTGACCCCATTGCTTAGTGTCGACAATCTCCCCAATTCCTGTTCTTGTCTTTAAGCAAATACCTCACTTTACCGCAACTTGCAATTTCCTGCTGGCTTTCCACAAAGTCACTGGAAAAGCTAACAGGGATTCGCAAGTCTGCTTGGGCAGCTTACAAGCAGGCAGGTGGCAGGAGAGTGCTATGGAGTGAATGGGGGAGGGAAGTATTGCGGCAAGTGCATGTGGGATGGTGCAAATATTGTGGGCTGAAGAGAGGGTGCTGCTGCAAAGCACAAGTGCAAAGTGCGTAGTAGAGCTCCTTGGGACCAAAAGTGACAGCAGCGATTTTGATTTATTGAAAAAAAGCAATCTGATAAGAATAATTTAGATTGGCCTTTTTCTCCAAATAACAGGTGAATCACAGATTGGGTTCAGACAAAACAATTAGATGTGGTTAATAATAAATAAAAGCAAAAGCTTTTGAATTTTTTTCTCGTCACTGCAAAATAGTTTAGCACAAAGTTCTAAATAGGCCAGGGACTTTACACACCATCAAAGATGCCATTATTCCAAGTCATAAATACCTTCAAAAGGTCACCGAATGAGTGGTTGTTAATTGATGACTGTTTGTAGTGGCAACAATAACAATATAAAATAATAGTATTTTTCAAGATAGAAGGTGAGTCAAATGAAAAATGTAATATAATACTTGAAATAATGACATCTTTGATGGTGTGTCAAGTTCCTGGCCTATTTAGGACTTTTGCAAGGCTATTTTGCAGTGGCGAGAAAAAAATCCAAAAGCTTTTGCTTTTATTTATTATTAACCACAGCTATTCATTCTGTCTGAACCCAATCTGTGATTCATCTAAATGTTGTTTAGAGAAAAAGGCCAATCTAAACTATTTTTATCAGATTGCTTTTTTCCCTAATAAATCAAAATTAAGATTAACCATGTTTTGTTTAATAGTTGCTCTAGGAAATAATATCGTTCACATACACGTGGAATGTGTATGTGTGTGTGTGTCCTACCTTTTAAGTTAAGATCTCCAGAAATATATATATATATATTTAAATAAACAACTCCAGTATTTTTTTTAAAATCCAGCGTCCTATCTCAAGAGAGTTAACATGCAGAGATAACACAGAGATAGAAACATACAGCTGCATACATGCTGTAAATTGATATGAGAAAAATGACCAATCTTCGGGAAGGTGGGATGGATTTGTTTTCTTTTCTTTTGAGAAATTAGCAGAAGAATCCTGGGGCTATAGTGAAAACAATTATATTAGACGATGTAATACACATATAAAAAGCAATATGGATGCCTGATGTCTAGAAAATGAGTTTTCCTCTTTGAGTTTTGTTATAGTAGTAGTAGTAGTAGTAGTAGTAGTAGTAGTAGTAGTAGTAGTAAAGTTGGAAGGGACCTTGGAGGTCATCTAGTTCAATCCCCTGCTCAGGCAGGAAACCCTATACCATTTCAGACAAATGGCTGTCCAGTCTCTTCTTAAAAACATTCTAGTGTTGGAGTACTCACCAGCTTCTGGAGGCAGGTTGTTCCACTGGTTAATTGTTCTGACTCTCAGGAAGTTTCTCCTTAGTTCTAAGTTGCTTCTCTCCTTGATCAGTTTCTATCCATTGCTTCTTGTCCTGTTTCAGGCGCTTTGGAGAATAGCTTCACCCCCTATTCTTTGTGGCAGCACCTAAGATATTGTCCGTCTCTTCATTAAACTAGACAGCCAATTCCATCAATCTTTCCTTATATGTTTTAGCCTCCAGTCCCCTAATCATCTTTGTTACTCTTCTCTGTACTCTTTCTAGAGTCTCAACATCTTTTTTACATCGTGGTGACCAAAACTGGATGCAGTATTCTAAGTGTGGCCTTACCAACACATTGTAAAGTGGTATTAATACTGCATGTGATCTTGATTCTATCCCTCTGTTAATGCAGCCTAGCACTGTGTTGGCTTTTTTGGCAGCTGCAGCACACTGCTGGCTCATATTTAAGTGATTGTCCACTAGGACTCCGAGATCCCTCTCACAGTTACTACTGTTGAGCAAGGTACCGCCTATATTATACCTGTACATTTAGTTTTTCTTGCCTAAATATAGAACTTTACTTTTTTCACCATTGAAAATAGGACAGACAATGAAAGCCAGCTTGTGACCTGTGTCATACTCATGAGGCATGATTGCAAGTATTTCCTTACTGTGTGATGTGACCAGAAAAGAAAAAAAATCATGTCTTTGCCTTGCCAGCAAGTCATTATATGTAAACAAAAAATGATGATGATAAGTTATAATTTTGGTATTTTGAGAGTTCAGTTAACAAAGGAACCTTTAGTTACTCTTTAGTTGTTAGAAAATATTTTATTTTCTTGATGATTCAGTGTATAATCCAGCACATGGTTCATGTCAAATACACAACCAAATATGGAATTGTATGTTACGGTGAGCTACTCAACTACTACTTCTTCCAGCATCTAGTATTCCTCTAGCTTTCTTTCTTCTGAAGGGAAGAAAAAGAGGGTTCCTAAAAGTAAAGCAGTGCAGATCAATTGTATCTGTCCCTGTAAAATAAATTGTGTAGTCTTCTCCATGTGATGGCGTGCTGACCTAGAATAGCTCAATGGAAAAAAAAATCCTTAGGAGACTGAATTTCTGTTGGTTAAATAGCAATAGCAATTCCTGATGGGCCTTGAAATTCAGTGTCATTCTATTTCATTTCCACTTAATATTATACAAAAGCGGGTTGCTTATTGGGAAGTGATTTACTATCATCATGAATATCAAGTGCAACATTCCTGAAGTTTTCTGTCCCTAAAAAGTACTGGTAGTTTTCCACAATGGAGACAAGAACCTTGTGTTGTTTGCATTGCAACTATTCCAATGTAATGACTTCTGGTTGAACAAGTTCTCCTTTATGGTTTTGATTCACAAGGAGCTGATGTAGTAAAGGTGCTTCTCTTTTTGCCTCTCTGTCTCACCCATTCTACAAAGTCTGATATCCAGCTGGTGTAGCATGGAGTTAATTAAACAGAAATGTTATTTTTTTTTTTTTTAGGTTCTTCTCTCCCTAGTTTCTGTGTAAATAAGCTTAGCGAGAGCTTTTGCAATAATCCCTTTAGTCGGAAGAGCAGATAGCACAGAATGAAATATTTATGTTAATCTTGTTTATTTTTTTTTATTTTTTTTTTTTGTATTTCTTCTGTAGGCGTTTAAATACTTTAAACAAGTGTGCAATGATGAAACTAGAAATCAGCCCACATAGGAAACGGGTAAGTATCTTTGACAAAACTATTGCAACATTTGTAAATTATTGATGGGAATGACCCTGAAAATGCTTTTGTAAGCCACATCTATATGTATAGACATAGAAGCACACTCAATCTCCTTTGGCATCTTACAGTGAAATCCTAAAACCACCTGCAAGAGATAGCACCACTTGGACAATTCCTTCAAGTCTTTATTAGTTTGTTTGTATTGTTCATTATTTTAATATAAAGTTAAAGTTCACATGCCAAAACCGACCTCTTTGGTCAGGTTTTTATTTTAAAAATATTAATATGGGTTTGAATAAGCTTGTTTTTTTTCAAGGCGACACAAAAGTATTCTAGCTTTCATGGCCATGAAAATAAGAAACAACCAGGATCGTTAAGGCACTATTTGGTCCCAAAACCTGTCTGAAGTTTTGTTATTCATTTCAATATCAGAAGGGCTACAGAAATTGGCAATAGGTAGATTAATAGCGTTTTCTTTTAGAAGCAGTTATGGTGATGCCTACTTTTGTTCTATTTTGCATATTTTCATCAATTGTTAAAAGTACATCAGCAAAGTTTTCTTCTGCCCAAATAAAGATAATGGTTAAAATTGAATAATCTAGAATGTGTCTGACTCATTGGTTCTCATTAGTGTGCCTGATACAATCCATTACGAGAAGGTCTCTTTTCTGCTAGTAAGTTATTCAGTTTTTCTGCATGATATAACTGGACAGCGTATGAGATAGTCTGACCTTCAGGTTTTTTATACTAGAATGTCAACTGGTATTTATAAATCCTGTTGTAAAATATTGTCGTTGTATTCTAAATTGGTAGTACCCTCTGCCAAGAACTACTATTAATGCTTGCTTTCTGCTACTTCACTCTGCCTTTCAGTTATCACACGTGGGGTAGCCTCCAAAATGTCCTTTGCACTGCCCTAGATATTTCAAAAATATTACTGTTTCTTGATAGATAAGACCTGAAAATTTCCTTTCTACACAGTAGGACAGAAACTGGATGAAATAAAAGTGTAGATTTTAAGGTATCCGCTGCGTTAAGGTATCTAGGTCCCAAACCAGAAATAAACAAATATATATAAAAAAAATCAAACAAACAGGCAAGATACATTCCAATGGCCTTATTTGAGTCAATACTTATCAGAAGCATTTAGTTCCAGTTGCTGAATGTTTTTTTTCAAAGACACAGTTCTTGTTACAGTAGTCATTAGTTAACCTGGAATCACATAGGGATGGGGCAGCTTCTGATGGAAGATTTTTGGAAAGACATTTCAGATATTTCTCAGTCTGAAGAGTCCTGGCTTCAAGCAGTGATGGAATTGAAGAATTAGGACATGTTTGTGCAATTAGGCACATCCAGATTCGAAGAAAATTTCTAAGTATTTTATAGACAGTGATCGGCCCTTTAAATTATTCACAAAGGATTGAGAGACAGTGACATTGTGACTTCTATAAAACCACTTGGATAACTTTTTTTAAAACAAAATACCTAATCAACCATCCACTTGGTGGGCTTGTGATGTGACTGGAAATGGGGCTAGATGTGCAGTAATGTTTCATGGAGTGAAACCTAATGAATCCCTTTAGTTCTTAGCTGAACTGATTTGCAAGAAAGTATAGGACCCACAAGAACAAATGTATACCTAATTTTGTAGCCAGATCATTTCCCAGAATTCTCATTAAGTTCAGCCATTTTGGTGGCAATTCCTTACCAAACCATTGAGCTTATTCGTTGTACTCTGTTTTGTTTCAGAGTGAGGATTCAGATGAAGATGAGCCTTGTGCGATCAGTGGAAAGTGGATGTTCCAGCGAGACAGCAAGAGGTGGTCCAGACTGGAAGAATTTAACATTTTCTCTCCAAAGTTTGATATGAATTCCACATCCCCAGAAGTGGCTCATCTTAGCAGTGCAACCAGTCACGAGAGCGTGCTGATGGAGCAGAGTGAACATCATGAGATAGCTTCCATCCACAGCATGAGCAGCAACAACAGCCACCCATCTACCTCCCAGAAGGATGCAGTCGCCTCCAGGACAAACTCGGTCATTAGCATTACCTCTTCGGGAAAGCTCGTGGAAAACGAGGGCAATCTGCCCTCCACTAAAGAGCTATCGAGTTTCAGTTGCGGTGCGAAAGCCAACGAGAAGAACACCAAATCCAAAACAAGAAGCCTGCTAAAGAGGATGGAAAGTCTGAAAATAAAAGGCTCTCATCATGGGAAGAGTAAAGCTCCTTCAAAGCTTGGCCTGATAATCAGTGGCCCAATTTTGCAAGAAGGTATGGATGAAGAGAAACTAAAGCAACTTAATTGCGTGGAGATCTCCACTCTCAATGGCAACCACATCAATTTCCCGATGGTTCGCAAAAGAAGCGTTTCCAACTCCACGCAGACCAGCAGTAGCAGCAGCCAGTCGGAGACAAGCAGTGCAGTTAGCACTCCCAGCCCCATCACGAGGACACGTAGCCTCGGTGCCTACAATAAGCGTGTGGGAATGTACCTAGAAGGCTTTGACCCTTTCAACCAATCAACATTTAACGATGTCATGGAACAGAACTTTAAAAACCGGGATAGCTTTGCAGAGGATACTGTCTTTTTCATTCCTGAAGACCACAAACCTGGAACGTTTCCCAAAGCTCTCTCCAATGGTAATTTTGCTCCACCAAAGAGTAGTTCGGTGAACTGGAGAACAGGAAGCTTCCATGGACATGGACATCTTTCTCTCCGGTGTGAGAATAGTTCCGACAGCTCCAAAGATATGAGCATAGGAAGGAGACGCAACTCCTCCAGCTCCGTGTGCAGTCGCCTCAGCATTTATGACAACGTGCCAGGTTCCCTATTATATTCTAGCACAGGAAATCTGGCTGATCTGGAGAATGAGGACCTCTTTCCTGAACTCGATGACATCCTGTATCACGTCAAAGGCATGCAAAAAATTGTGAACCAGTGGTCAGAGAAATTTTCTGATGAAGGAGACTCTGATTCAGCTTTAGACTCTATTTCTCCATGCCCGTCTTCTCCCAAGCAAATCCTGCTAGATGTGGACCATGATAGAACCATGCCCAGTGATCTTGACAGCACAGGAAATTCACTGAATGAAACCGAGGAAGCTGTAGGAATCCAGGAGAGAAGGGATTCTGGGGTGGGGGCATCACTGACGCGTTCCAACAGGTCAGTGGACAGATTTTAGCCTAAGACAGTGGTTCTCAACCTGTGGGTCGGGACCCCATTTGGGGTTGAACGACCATTTCATGGGGGTTGCCAAACCATGCTGTCCACCATTTTGTTCCCTTTTCCCTAGCTGTCCTACTTCCTCTTATTGGTGGCCACACCCACTTGGGGGTCACCACAACATGGGGAACTGTATTATGGGGTCACGGCATTAGAAAGGTTGAGAACCACTGGTCTAAGAAGAGTAGCAGATGTTAGAGTAAAGTATACTTATTTATCTATATGTGCATAAATGTTTTTAATATTCAGATGTATTAATCAAATGTGGATGCTGGGCATAGAAAAAATATTATCCTGCCTTTTATGCCAGACGATAGAAAAAGGTCAAGAATCAACTTAAGTAGCCTGCCACGCGTAACTCTCAAGTTTGTTTGAAGGAAACTTCAGGACATTATGAAATGAAAAGTAATTTTAAAATACCTTTCACATTTACTAAATAAACAGACAAGGCAGGGAAAAAAATAATTTGAAACAATGCAATGAAATCTGCTTGTTCGTCCTTTCCTCTGTGGGAGATGTCTTCCGAACGTAATTTTAAAAGGCGCAGTGATTGTAGGCATCAAGAAAAGTTTTCAGTATTAATGCTCTCCAAATAGAAAATAACTAGGCATATTCTTTACAAACTACAGGTTGATGTAGCCAGTAGCCATCCACTTGGAAATAGTTCACATCACAATATTTTTGGCTTGATAAAGGATAGTGCAATATATTCTTACATTACACCTGTAGTGTTTTGATTTTTCTAAAATAATCAAGCTAGTTATTTTTATAGACTACAAGATTTTTGTGCTTGACAATTATGTTGCAGAAGCTATACAGAAATCAATTGCCATTCCTTAAGCTAGAACATACTCTATAAGAAGGGATGAGCTAGGGGTGACACTGAATAATGCTTAATTACCTTCTGTAGAATAAGAAAAGTTAGATCATCCAAGTATGGTAGTTTAGCTGCCTAGTATTGTTGATTATGTTAGTATTGAATGCCCAATTATTTTTTGCTATTATGTTCTGTAGAACAGTAGAAACGTTGTCTAAATCTCAGCAAATATCCAAACATTTGACAATTCAAACAAACTCTAGTACAGTAGAGTTTAGAGACCGAGTGTCCAAAAACTGGCCCCGCCCCTGTCCCCTGCCCCGCCTGCCTGCAGGGCCACTCACCACCTCCAGGACCCACCGCAGATTGCCTAGGTAGCCCAGCAGCATCATGGCAGCCACGCCCTCTGCCCGTGCTCCGCAGCATCAACTGTGCACGATGGGGCGTGAGGGCAGAGTCTTGTCTATGCTGCCTGGCTGCCATGTCCTTGGCTGTGCTGCTCCGTGTGGGACACATTTATTTATTTATTTATGAGACTTATATACCGCTTTAAGTGCAAGCACTCTCTAAGCGGTGTACACCAGTAAGCAATGTATATATATATTTACATTGCCCCCAACAATCTGGGTCCTCACCACTTGGGGGTGACTCTCCTCCAGGGGGGCTGCTGGTGAGGAGGGGGTCGTGGGGGGAGTCGAGGCTGGGGCAACAGTACGTGTGCCCACAGAGAGGGCTCCGAGTGCCGCCTCTGGCACGCATGCCATAGGTTCGCCACCACTGCTCTAGTATAATGCATTCTACACAAATAGATAAAAAAAATCTAATATCATAGAAATGTGAGATTCTGACATAATAAGATGGTTTAATAATCCCCATAGGCAAGTCTATATTGGGATACAATTCCATTCAGTTGCTTTGGCTTCTCCATTTGTTTAAATCTGTCTGCGTGGTTCAAAATCATTCAGTGTTGTTTCTTTCTTTCTTAAAGACACAGAATGAGGTGGCACAGCTTCCAGAGTTCCCATCGACCCAGCTTAAGTTCAGTAGCCTTACAGATTGACTGTCAGTCCGTTACACAGATGAACTTGCTGCAGAAGTATTCCCTCTTGAAATTAACTGCACTCTTGGAGAAATACACACCTTCCAACAAACATGGATTCAACTGGTAAGGAAATGTTCACTAGTCAGAACCTACAAATAACAGGACCTACTGTTAATTCTTGGTTCCTTTCCAGGCCAACTGATTTTTTTTTTTTTTTTTTGCTAAACTGGGAAAATGCATTGTCTCTGAAGGGATAAGAATTATTTTTTTAAAATATTTAATAGACATCACCTGGCCTTAAGGATTACATTAGAATATACAAACATTTATGTCCACTGGCTAAATAGCACACTCCAAATGAAAAATGTTTGTTTAAAAAAATCACTTCATAATTTTCATTTGTAGCACCCAAAAGTACAAAGTATATTTTTTCATGGGGTATTGAATGTAATTGCTGTTTTAACATCTGGCTGACTGCTTCTCCTCCACTCCTCCCTTTTGTCTAGGGCTGAGTATTTCAAGTCCATCATCAAAGCTCTTCCTATTCAAATGCTGTTATTATGGGAACGGTGCTAAATTCAGAAGCTGTGTGTCTTGACTGACCAAAATAAGCCCTGAGCCGTTTGCATGCTTCAGATTCTCAGTGGGCATCGTAATATGTGTCTGTTTCATTTTCCGTTGCATTCCACCCCTGTGTATTTTAACAAAATGAAAGCTACGCATATGCTTATATCAATAACACTCTTCCAAACTGTGGAAATATAAATGAGGTGGGGTGCTCGTATGTGAACCAGTCATTCATAGACCTAAAAATAATCATACCATTGAGTTAGGATTTCTTTGGCTTTTGACATTCCTAGGTCTGCCGTCTTGCGAATTGTTGCTCTCCTCTAAAAATTCTTAAATGATTAAGTAAAATAGCAGGGCTCTGATATATTGGATAGTTGAAAGCAAACGGAAAGTGGGTAGAAGAGGCGGTTGGAAAGGAAGAGGTTGGGGGAGGTCAAGTGGGGGCTGTATCTGAAAAGGCCATTTGTCGAAATGAAGTTTTATTTCTGGCAAACACCCATGTATTACATCAATTTCCTGCTGTGACACAAGCTGGTGGGTGGTAGAATATGTTTGAGGGCTTTCTAAAGCAAATCATTTAGTACACAAAAAGATCATTGTTCACATGTCCATCTTCTGCCGAGGGTCCTGAAAAAGCAAGATTATAAAGGGGTCATTGGCTGCTAGATTTGTATTTGATTCTTATTTGTGCTGTCACAGCCACCCTCGTGTTCTGCTGTGCCTATTGGCCTGGCAGATTAACTAAGCAATTACTACTTTGTTCATTGATTTATTCTCTGGTTACCTCTTAAGGCATTTTTGATGTGACCGGTTAATTTGTTCTGGTGTGGCCCCAAAATTCAAAATAGATTGTTTTTTTGTTTTGTTTTGTTTTTTATAAAAAGTCTGTACTGATACTGGCATACTGGCTAGAAATTAATTCTAAGCTGAAGGGATGGATTTCAAAGGAAAGACAGTCAACTGATGGAAAATAGAACAAATAGCTTTAGTTCAGATGGTGATGGTGCAAGCAAGGCGTATATTTGCTCGCTTTTCAAGGCTCTCCTGCTGAATTTTTGAAAACGAGAAGAAAGTGCTGACTCTTTAGTTGGTTCAAGGTTTCTATGCCCAATATTGAAATGTTGTGGAAATGCAGATCCGAAAAATCCTTGTTGCAAATAATAATAATTTCTACCCCAGTCTTAGATTGTGAACCTAACTATAGATTGCATGATGATGATGATGATTGGAGACTGTAGAGCAGGGGTGTCAAACTCAATTTCATTGAGGGCCGCATCAGCATTGCGGTTGCCCTTGGGGGGCAACGAGGGGTGCGGCCTACTGGGTGGGCGTGGATGGAGTGGGTGTGTCCTACTGAGTGGGCGTGGCCAGCTCTACATCATTCACGTCAAGGGTGCCGATGGTGGCCTGGGCAGGATGGGACAGATCTGAGGGTCTCTGGCAGAAAAGGGTGGGACCAGGGCAGAGCCCATCAAGCCGGGTATGTGAAGTAGGTGAGGGCCATTTGCTGGCCACTTCCAGGCGATGGTGCATTTCTTCATTCCTCACAAAGGGTGACACCTTTCCGGCATGCACCCAGGGGGTGGGGCCAGTGCGGCAGGGGGTGGTTCCTCTCTCTTTCCAGATGGCCTTGTGGAGCTAAGACTGAATGCATTTCAGCATAGAAATTGTACATTGGCTGCACCACAAAATTGTACATTGGCTCCCGGCCGGCCTGGGCCAGGGCCAAGGCAGTGGGGGCCGTTCCCTCACTGTTTCCAGGATGGCTTCGCGGGCCACATGAAACCACTTTGCAGGCTGCATCCGGCCCCCGGGCCTTGTGTTTGACATGTCTGCTTTAGAGCAATACCTAAAGGACTCCCACAGTATGTGGAAATGTTGCATTTATCAGACATGAATATCCTAATTTTAAACAAAACCATCACACTTGGAACTGGCTGTATTCTTAGCTGCTGGTTTGAATTCTTAAGTTTCCATCAGTCTTACTGTTAATCTAAGTGTAGATTACCCACATATAAGATAACAACAACAACAGCACTGATTAAAGTACAGATGGTCCTTGACTTACAACCACAATTGAGCCCCCAATTTTAGTTGCTAAGCGAGACATTTGTTAAGTGAATTTTTGCCCCATTTTACGATCTTTCTTGCCACAGTTGTTAAGTGAATCACTGCAGTTGTTAAATTAGTAGCACGTTTGTTAAGTGAATCTTTCCCATTGATTTTGATTGTCAGAAGGTCACAAAAAGTGATCACATGATCTGGGACACAGCAGGAGTCAGAATCGTGAGTCAGTTCCCAAGCATCTTAATTTTGATCACGTGATCATGGGAATGCTGCAACGGTCGTAACTGTTAAAAAATGAATAGAATAGAATAGAATAGAATAGAATAGAATAGAATAGAATAGAATAGAATAGAATAGAATAGAACAGTGGTTCTCAACCTTTCTAATGCCGTGACCCCATAATACAGTTCCCCATGTTGTGGTGACCCCCAACCACTTATACATCACCGGGTGCCAGGGGCGTAGCCAAAGAAAAGGGGGAAAAAATGGCAGACAGCCTTGTTTGGCGACCCCCGTGAAATGGTCGTTCGACCCCAAATGGGGTCCCGACCCACAGGTTGAGAACCACTGGAATAGAATATCTTTATTGTCATTGCGTAACTCACAATAAAATTAATGGTCATGTCACTTTTTTCAGTGCTGTTGTAACTTCCAACGGTCACTAAATGAACTGTTGTAAGTCAAGGACTACCTGTACCAATAAAGAAATTATTTCAACCATACTTATGAAAATATTTAAAAACTGTTCATGGCTCTTCTCCCTAATATTACACTTAATGTTTTAAGGGGTTTTTTCCCCAAGTCTTTTTCTTAACATAGCAGAATGTTGCAAATTTCAGTGTCTTAATCAGGTTTTCTGTGCTGCTATTCTCAGTCATGTGGGCTGTTTTCTGGCATTTTTTTTAACCCACAGACAAAGAGTTGAAAACAGAAGCACATGGTGCATATTTGAGAGAAGCAACACAGGCTTCTCTTTGTTTATGAAATTATTTCTGATCTTCTACAGGGCTGTGCCAAAGTTTATGAAAAGGATAAAAGTCCCAGATTATAAAGATCGAAATGTGTTTGGCGTTCCCCTAATAGTTAATGTCCAACGTGCCGGACAACCACTTCCGCAGAGTATTCAGCAAGCTATGAGATACCTTCGTAACAACTGTTTGGATCAGGTTAGTGTCTTCAACCTGACCTAGGATTGGGATCTTCCACTGTTACAGAGGTTCACTTCCTGTTAGTGCTGAGGTTGCATTGTTTAAGTTTCTCTATTAGAATTGTATATAGATCAGTGGTGGCGAACCTGTGGCACGCATGCCAGAGGCGGCACTCAGAGCCCTTTCTGTGGGCACACGCGCCATACCCCGGAGATGGCAACTGTCCCTCTTCAACCAGCCACCTTCTAACTTGCCGAGGTTCCACGTGGCCGGATGCATCCCGACACGGCTGGTTTCTCTCCCTCCTGTCCTGTCCCGTCCCATCCCTCATAGTCTCACATGCTCTCCTTTTCCCGGGCAAGACCCACTGCATCACCTCCTCAGCTGTCGGCCTGCCATCCAGCTCAGAGGCGGCTTTGAACTGCTGGCAGCGGGCTGCGGAGCCCCAGAGTGTGCGGTCAAGGGGCCAGCAGGCTGTGGCTGTTGACAGACACCATTGGCCCCCATGCGCTTGCTGGCCTCTGTGTGCGGGGGCCGATGGTGTCAGGCAGCAGCCACCCCGGCCCTTGCCTTGCCCCAAGGCAATGGCACCCCCACCCTGCCTCACCCCACCCCGCAGGACGAGCCTCCTGCCTACTGTCCCACCTGCCAGAGACTTCCTGGATCTTCCCCAACCCTGCCCACTCCCACAGGCATCCCTCCCCACGAGCAACATTGAGATGACCACGCCCACCTTGGCCACACCCACCCAATCTGCCAGGACCACCACAGCCATGCCCACCCAGTGGGCCACGTCCACCTGGCACCTGGCAATAAATAAGTGGGTTTTGGATTGCAGTTTGGGTACTTGGTCTCTAAAAGGTTCGCCATCACTGGTATAGATAGTCAAGTCAATATATTTATGATTAGATTGTAGTCCCCCCCCCCAAAAAAAAATAATATGTCAGAAAGATCTATGTTCAAATATCAATGTCAAGGCCAGAGGTTTCCAACCCCCAATCCGTGGACCAGTACCGGGCCGCGGCATGCCAGCAACCAGTCCGCACAAACAAGAAAAGGCCCATCCGCGGGATGCAGGCAACACACAAAACCACACCCCCTCCGGTCTGCAGAAAAACCTCTCTCCACCGTACCGGTCCCTGGTGCCCCAAAGGTTGGGGACCTCTGACCTAGGCCATCTAACCATTGAAGCGCAGCATTGTTTAAATTTTAATAATCATATACTGGATCAGTATATGCCGTCAGCTTACAACCAAGGGCATATACAAGTAGCCCTCGACTTAAAACAATTTGTTTAGTGACTGTTCAAAGTTACAACGGCACTGAAAAAAGTGACTTGTCACCGTTTTTAACAGTTACGACCTTTAAGGCATCCCCATGATCATGTGATCAAAATTCAGACGCTTGGCAACTGGTTCACATTTATGACGGTTGCTGTGTCCCGGAGTCCTGTGACCACCTTGTGCAATCTTCTGACAAGCAAAATTAATGGGGAAGCCAGATTCACTCAACAACCAGGTTACTAACTGACCCGCTGCAGTAATTCACTTAACAACGGAGGCAAAACAGGTCGTAAAATGGGGCAAAACTCACAACCAAGATCTCGCTTAACCACAGAAATTTTGGACTCAATTATGGTATAAGTCGAGGTCTACCTGAACATAACCCATTTTATTGGGTTCTACTTAATCGAGTTGAAATATTAATTTATATTGCTATACCATGCATGATATGCCATACAATAAATAAATAAATCCCTTACACAGTTTTATTGTCAACCATCCACTTTGCCTCTCCTATTCGGGTGTCCAGCAAAAAGAGCTAATAGTATAATATTCTAGATTGGCCTGTGCATGTTAACTTTTTAATCCAGTGAGACATTTTCTATATCAGAACTAATGTAAAAAAAAAATATATAGAAAGGGCTGTACAACCTGTTATTTATTCACCAAAATCAGATGCTGAATTTAATCCCAATGCCCACGGGTAAAAGAATTATTGGTAACAGGTTCCTGTTTTGTGTCACCCGGAACACTTTTCTTTTGTTGCACAGGTTGGCCTTTTCCGAAAATCTGGAGTCAAGTCAAGAATCCAGGCATTGCGACAAATGAACGAGAATGCAATAGGCAAAGTGAATTACGAAGGGCAGTCTGCTTATGATGTGGCCGATATGCTCAAACAGTATTTCCGCAACCTGTCAGAACCTCTCATGACCAACAAGCTTTCAGAGACTTTTTTACAGATCTACCAGTGTAAGTCAGTGATGCTCATACCCACCTTCCCTTAAAGGGCCCAGACAGAATAAAAGATCACAAAATTTGCCTGCTCTGATTCAGAATCTCTGGCTACAGAACAAATGTGCAATTTAATTTTCCATCCTTTTGCAGGACCAAAATGTATCAGCTTGTCTTCCACCCTTTATCAAATTTTATGCAGTAAATCAAGGCAAGTATGGTGGTAAACCTATGGCACACGTGCCACAGGTGAACCTATGGTGGTGAACCTACGGCACGCGTACCACAGGTGGCACACGTGCCACAGATGGCACGCAGAGCCCTCTCTGTGAGCACGCACGCCATCACCCCAGTCCTAGGCCTTCAGCTGGATTTTATAAAACTTTTTTGCTTTAGGCCTCCACCGCCGTGTGCAAAAAAATAAAAATCAATCAATTTTAACTTCTCGCGGGAAAAAAATGATCTCGCAAAGTTGGAATTGATTGACTGAACTTTTTAGTCCCACCCAGTCTGCCGTTACCACCGCAGCCACACCCACCATGTGGGCCACGCTCACCCAATGGGCCACGCCCAACCGGCACCCGACGATACATAAGTGGGTTTTCAGTTGCAGTTTGGGCACTCGGTCTCTGAAAGGTTCGCCAGCACTGGCATAGAGTATTTGTTGTGCCTTGTAACCGTAGCATTGTGTGACAGTCATCTCTGCTGTACAGCTACAGATACTTTTCCTTGCTCTATCATAGTTTATCTGTTTCTTGAAGCACAGCCTGAATATTCTGTTGGGTCAAATCAGGAATGGTTTAAAGGCTACTTATTTTAACTGATTTTCCAGTTAAGGAACATGTTTCACTGGTGTACACAAACCTTTATTCAGTTCTTGTTGATGGGGTTTAATGATAAAGTATCCGTTGCTATGTCTGTTCATAAACTGAACAATCTAATTTGTGAAAGTCCTTTTAGCAATTCTGCTGCTCTCAAAATTAAATTCTAAATTTAACTCTGGACTATTCAGGGCTTTATTTTATCCTTGAGTCCCTTGCTAAGCAGGAAATACCTGAGAGCAGTTATGCTGTTGACCAAAAACAAAAAAGAAAATTCTTTCATTTACCATGAATGGTATGCAGCACGCTAAAAAAAATTGCTTCAGACTAAAGTTTAAAATAGCCAAAGTTAAGAGTTTGCTTTGGGATGCATTCATGCTGCATGGATGGAAAATCAATAAGTTGATGGGAAGACTGCTAATTTTGTGCAGATGTGCCAAAAGACCAGCGCCTTCAAGCAATCAAGGCAGCCATTATGCTTCTACCAGATGAGAACAGAGAAGTCCTACAGATTCTTCTGTATTTTCTGAGTGATGTCACAGCTGCTGTGAAAGAAAACCAGATGACGCCAACAAACCTGGCGGTGTGTTTAGCGCCATCTCTTTTCCACTTGAACACCCTTAAAAGAGAAAATTCTTCTCCAAGGTACGTCTCCTTATTGTTCTACCTGAGTTCCAACACTAGTGGGCTACTACACCATTGAAGAAGCTTTTCCTTTCAACTCTACCAAACTGCTTTGTATTTAATTTGCTATTCTTATAAGATATTGATGGAAGAACTACATGATATTTCTGGGGAGATCAGATATGGTCCTGCTGTCAGCAAAATGCTGCAATGTTATTTACAGTTGCCTTCAGAACAAAAGAATGAGGGAAGCTGAAAATAAATACACTTAGGTGCAGAAAATCAGATATAAAAATAAGTTTTGGATGCAGTCCTTACCTTTTGCTTTAATTATTCATTTACAGATCAGACCAAGTAGTGCATTCTTAATCTACTTTATTGATTAGTCTTGTTCGTTAATTGATAGGGTAATGCAGAGGAAACAGAGTCTGGGAAAACCGGATCAGAAAGACTTAAATGAGAATTTGGCTGCAACTCAAGGCTTAAGCCATATGATTGCTGAGTGCAAGAAGCTTTTTCAGGTGAATATTTGTCTATTTGCTCATTTTAACATCTTGAACTAGTGTTCCGTAGAGGTTGTATCTTTGTTCTTGATACCTAATGTTCTTTCTGGCAGCTACACTTTCTGGAAAGCAACATAAGGGCTTACAATGGACAATTATCTTTAAAAATACTTTGTGACTTCTAATTCTGTGTGTGTATACCTGTATATGTCTCTGTGTGTGGGTTTGTGTTTGTGTACATGCCCTTCAATGATGGAAGAACTACATGATATTTTTGGGGAGATCAGTTATGGTCCTGCTGTCAACCAAATGCTGCAATGTTATTTACAGTTGCCTTCAGAAAAAAGCAAATGTTGGCTCACCATGGGAACCTCCAATTATTTATTCCCTGTTTTATTCATTTCCTAAATCTTAGATCCCAGAAGAAATGAGCAGATGTCGGAATTCTTATACAGAACAAGATCTTAGACCCCTCAGCTTTGACGACTTGGGACGAACTAACAACTCGGAGTCTGCCAGTTATCATTCTTATATCCAGGACTGTATGGATGATTTTTTCAAGGAAATAAAGGATAAATTTAAGGGCTGGGTCAGTTGCCCAACCCCAGAACCAGCAGAACTTGCCTATAAAAAGGTACAGTTATGTTGGCATATTTCTAGTGTTTGTGTGTAAATGTTAACAGACAAAATGTAATTTAAATGGTCGATATTCCTTCAGTCTCATCCATTGTCTTTCTGTAAACTTAGATACTTTATGGATGTTTGTATAGTGCGTATATTCTAAAACATGGCATGTTTTATTTAGGACCTTTCTATCGTTCTTTATTAGAAGAACCGAATGAAAAATGAAGGTTGTAACAAATCTTAATGTTTTGGTTTGGGGTTGTCATGAGTCAACCACTGGCTTAAATATTACATATATAAAGTAATCCAATACATCAACAGTAGACAATTCTCCTATACCTATCTCAATCCCTCCAAGCCTTCCACCACTGATAATCCTATAAAAAGTTCCGCAAGGTGTATTTTTTAGGCAAAAGATCAGAAAAGCTCCAGAGCTAGATAGAGTGATTCCTTCTCGATGGAAAGCTTGTGCTGAACAATTGGCCACCATCTTTACTCAACTTTTTAATCACTGGAGGTGATTTATATCCCTTCTTGCTTTAAACCAGTGGTTCTCAACCTTTCTAATGCCGCGACCCCATAATACAGTTCCCCATGTTCTGGTGACCCCCAACCACTTATACATCACCGGGTACCAGGGGCATGGCCAAAGAAAAGGGAAAAAATGGCAGAAAGCCTTGTTTGGCGACCCCTGTGAAATGGTCGTTCGACCCCAAATGGGGTCCCGACCCACAGGTTGAGAACCACTGCTTTAAACCCTTTACCATCATCCAGGTTCCTAAGAAATCTCCCATCAGAGAGCTGAATGACTACAGACCGTTTGCTCTGACATCCCTAAGCATGAAGACCTTTCAGAGGCTAGTGCTGGCCTACATGAAACTCATCACAGATCCACTGATAGACCCCTTCAGTTTTGCCTATCGAGCAAATAGGTCAGCAGATGACGCTATCAATGTGTCATTATTATACTATATTCTGCAACATCTTGACTCTCCAGAGACCTATGCACAGGCCCTTTTTGTGGACTTCAGCTCAGCATTCAATACCATCATTCCAGAAATTCTCTAAATTGATCTAGTTTACTGTATCTGCTCATAGGTGTAGGTGGATAATCAGGTTTTTGACAGATAGGAATTAACCCAGAGGTTCTCAACCTTGGCAACTTTAAGACTTGTGGACTTCAACTCCCAGAATTCCTCAGCCAGCAAAGTCTTAAAGTTGCCAAGGTTGAGAACCCCTGAATTAACTGATGAGGCTAGGGAAAATTACACCTAGTGCCCAAGCAATGAGAACAGGTGTCCCTCAAGGCTGTGTGCTTTCTCCGTTGCTCTTCTCCCTCTACCAATGAACACCTCAGGGAAACCGCTGTTAAAGTTCTGAAGTTTGCAGACAATACAATGGTGGTGGGCCTCATTTGAGACGATGATGAGTCTGCAAACAGACGGGGGGGCGGGTTGAACGACTGGCTCTGTGGTGCAGCCATAGCAATCTGGAGATGAATATGCTTAAAACTGTAGAGATGAGGATGGATTTTAGGAGAAACCCTTGTGTTTTACCACTTCTTGCCATAATTGACAGCACCGTATCAGCAGTAGAGTCCTTCACATTTTGGGCTTCCATAATCTCCCAGGACTTGAAAGGGACAGTTAACATTAGAACTATAATTAAAAAGGCACAACAAAGAATGTTCTTTTTGGATCAGCTCAGGAAGTCCAGACTATCCCAGGAGCTGTTGATCTAGTTCTACATATGAATTCTTTTTTTTTTTTTGATTAAAAGTTTTAAAAATTTCACACAATATATATCCCCAATCCCTCCCATCCCTCCCCCCTCCCCCACTTCCCAGAGCTGATTACAGGGTTACAAATAAACAAACATAATCTAAATAACATTACCCAACTATACTATCAATCAAATCCATAACATACTTTTAACTCCTCTTCAAAATAAATATTAACAAATTAAAAACAAAAATAATTATATAATTAAACCATAATACTAAAAATAATATAAATTCAACCATATTAAGCTATTAATAATAATCTAAAAATTACTCATAAGCAAGAAAATACTTTTCAGTCTGATATTTCTTTTGAATATAATCAGTCCATCTTCTCCAAACCAGTTCTAAATATGAATTCTTGAATCTGTCATATGTACTTCTATAACAGTCTGGTTTGGTACCGCAGCCAAACAGGACAGGCACAGACTCAAACGGATTGCAGAGAAAAAAAAAAAAACAATTGGCAACCAGCCTGCCTTCCGTTGAGTACCTGTATATTGCACACGTTAGAAGGAGGGCTGAGAAAATAGCTACAGACCCCTCACATCCTGGATATAAACTGTTTTCATCTTCTCCCCTTAGGATGGTGCTACGGAGCATTGCAGGCTAAAATAACTAGACCAGTGGTTCTCAACCTGTGGGTCGGGACCCCATTTGGGGTCGAACAACCATTTCACGGGGGTCGCCAAACAACAGAGTCCACCATTTTTCCCCCCTTTTCCTTAGCTGTGCTACTTCCTTTTATTCTATTGGCTTTTGAAAGCCAATAGAATAGACTCTCTTGAATAGAGCCTAATTCTATTGGATTTCAAAAGCCAATAGGAATTGTCCAGGCTGTCTCTGCCCTGCTGAGCCCGCCAAACATCCCATTCTGCAAACGGTGCTGCACCAGTTGAGTAGTCCTCGACTTACGACCGGTTGGGGGTCGCGGCATTAAAAAGGTTGAGAACCACTGAACTAGACACAAGGGCAGTTTTTTTTCTTGGACCATCAATAGCTAATTCTCACAGTGCAGTCTAATGTTTATGTATATTTACCCATATAGTATGGCTGTTGTATTAACATTATCTCTCTTATTATCTTCTTTACTACCCACTTTTGCTGTTGTTGTTATTGTCATCATTGTCATCATCATTCTGTTGACTTGCATGTAAACGAAGAGCTTCTGCCCCGAGACAAATTCTTTGTGTATCTAATCACACAAATTCTTTGTGTATCTAATCACACTTCGCCAAATAAAATATTCTAATCCATAAATATGATAATGGCCCTCTCTCAACATTGCTAAATAAGACTGTCGTTGGCATCATTGCATGCACTGTGTTCTCTGCCAAAGCGGCTGACCAAAAGTTTTCATTGTGATATAGCACAGTCAGAAGTGTCTTGATCTTTTATTTTGAATCAGCGTGTTTCCATTTATTCAATAACGATGATTCTAGAAAAGGGCCGTTGTATAAACATGATTAACTCTTTAGCAACAATGTACTTGTAGGTTTGTGAAGGTCCACCTCTACGGCTATGGAAATCCGTGGTTGAAATCCCTGCAACTCCCGAAGAAGTATTAAACCGTATTGTTAAAGAACAGCATCTTTGGGATGAAGACCTTTTAGATGCTAAAGTAATTGAGACGTTGGATAGCCAGACGGATGTTTATCAGTTTGTTCAAAACAATATGGCTCCACACCCAGCAAGAGACCATGTCATCCTCAGGTAACTGTACAGGCTGTATCCATAAAACACTTTATTAAACATTTAGCAGCTGGGAATAGAAACACCTTTGGATAAACTGGCTCATCTTCCTTACGTTCTCATCCATTCTTACAGAAGTTGTGCTTGATTCTAACAGGACTTGGAGAACCAACCTCTCTAAGGGAGCATGCGCCCTCTTAAGTTTCTCAGTGGACCATGACCGTGCGCCTGTCCTTGGTATTAGAGTGAATGTGCTGTTGTCCAGGTATCTTATTGAATCTTGCGGGACAGGAAAATCCAAAGTCACCTATATGTGTCGAATTGATTTAAGGTAAATTATGTCCTCTATTTTTATTAGGCTGGGCAGAGAAATTCTATCTCTAGTATAACATGTTTGGGGAATGAAAAGTGACAGTGCCCAAAACTAGTTGCTGTATATTGTAAGACAGTGCAAGCAATTGTGGCCTCCAGGTATCGTGAATAATCATGATCTTCTAGCGTGCTCATTGGCAAGGGACTGTGCAAATTAAAAGATTCCCAGTTCTGAAGGACAGTTGTTTGCCTTCTCCATGTAGAAAAGCCAATTCAAACTAATTGGAATTGCTTATTTTTTATTAGTGATTGGCTTATTGATACTGTTGGCTTATTGATACTAAGGATTCCAAAGAAATTTCCCTTATTATCTGACTTATTTTATTTTTTTTAGAATCTTTGAATAAAACTAAATGCCTTGTGTGTGGTTAAACGACAGAAACCATGCTTCTGTTTTTGGAGAATGCATTTGGGGCCAGAGACAGCCCAGAGATTGTTGTGTAGATGTTCCTTTAGCAAGGGCTACAGATTTCTTGGGAACAAGAGCAGATGGAAAGGAACAACCTTGCTTGTTGCCTTCTTTTATTTGCAGTTTATTTGTTTGCTTGCTTACTACAGCAGCCTTTTTGCCTGAGTGCCCACAACATGTTTTCAAATCAACTCAGATGACTTGCCTACCAAAAGATGGTTTCGTCTGTTTTTGCAAATTCTGCTTTCCAAGCCTTGAAATATCTCTTTGGGATCCTAAGTGGAGATTTTGGGAGAAATATATATAATTCTAAAAGGCCATCGTTCCTTGAGGCAGCCTTATGAACCTATTATCTCTTTGATTGCTTCTATTCCATACTTGTTTACTAATAGGATAATATTTTTGGGAGAAAAGCAATTTAAATCATTTTCTTTTTTGAAACAGGGGACACAAGCCTGACTGGTACACAAAAGCATTTGGACACTTATGTGCGGCTGAGGTTGTGAGGATTAGAGACTCTTTCCTTAATCAAAATCTTGAAGCCAAGGAAGCAACATCCAGGTGATGGACCAAGTGGACCAGCACAGTACCAGCCTATGTAGAGGTTTTCAGGAAAGGCCTTAGGATGGATCATATGTCCATTAGATCCTGAGGAGAAACCTTCTGGAATGGGTCTGAGGTTGTCCCTCAAAATTATGTGACAGTCCCGAGCGTTTTTAAAGCTGCTTTTTTGTCTGTGTTAGGCCTATAGTGTAGGTCTTAACTGGAAAAAACTTTGGATGGTGCAACTTTTTTTTAAAGGTAAGATTAATGTTGCTTAGGTGCTGTGAATTGCTTCTGAGAAGCAAAGCTCTAAGACTTAAATATATTTCTGAAATATGGTGAAAATTATTCATTCCTATATATTATGTTAGCTTTATGTATGTATCTGTATGTCATTTGTTGAGGGACTGTTGCAGCCACTGGATTTGGTGTGTTCCTCAGTGGATTCTCACGATAGTAAGTGAAGGAAGGTTTGCACGAAGGCAGAGGCATGAATGATTGTCTTAACTTGTTGACTGGAGTATGAGGAGCCAGAATGGTAGAATCAGAGTGTCTGGTACACTTGAAAGGCATTGAGAAGAATTTAGCAGGTAGGAAGGAGAATCGGCCTAGAATCCGATTGGTCCAAGAGACCATTGCAAGCTTCAAGTCTTCATTCCTCTGAGTTCTTATTACTCACATGTGTATCTAAAAATTGAAAAGTGTGGGCTATATCAGCCAGGGCAGGGGTAGGCAACCTTGGCTCTTTTATGACTCGTGGACTTCAACTCCCAGAATTCCTGAGCCAGCATGGCTCAGCTTGGAAACCTCTCCCTTTCCCCTCAGCATGGCTGGCTCAGGAATTCTGGGAGTTGAAGTCCACGAGTCATAAAAGAGCCAAGGTTGCCTACCCCTGAGCCAGGGCAAAGAATGGTAAAAAAGCAGAACACTTGAAACTTATTTAAAAATGCCAGATATATTTCAGTGTGTAGTCTTTTGTATGGCAATAATTTTGTTATGGGCTCCTATTTGAAAGCTCTCAGCTTTTCATAGCTGCCACAGGAGGACATCGGCCACCTGTTTGCGATGGTCAGACTTTATATTATTTGGAATACTTTATTAACAATCTGTAAGGAGCATTTCAAGAAAATTGTGAATGAAGTGGCAGCTCCAGAAAGTCTCTCCAAGTCTGAATGTCTCGGAAAAAAAACTGCACATTGAACCTGACATATAGGATTCCAAGAGATGGTTTGGGGAATGGAATGACATTCACACAGCACCTAATCTGTGTTTATTCTTAGTGCTTTTGGTTGCCCACAGCTGCAGCAGGCTGTGCCAGTGCTTCATGTGTGCTAACATGATCCCCAAATCACTTTTCCTGCAACCCATTCTTTTAGTATCCATCCACCTGTTAAGATCCAAAGGAAAGCCTAAACAACATCTTTGTTTAATTAACATAGGAATAAATGCTTGCAGTTTGAGGACAGGGCCGAAACTGCTTTCCGTAGCTGAAAAGGGCAACACTGAAAAATACCATAACTGGAACATTATAAAGTTCTAAAGTGTTTCAGCATAGCAGATACTCCTAGGAGTTAAACATATTCATATAACCCATTCCATTGTAACCATATAACCTCATTTATCGACATGGTTTGGAGGAAAATATCCTCCAAATTTAGAAGCAATGTAGTTAGGTAAAAAATGAATATTCGTGCCACAAAATTGTATGACATAATGCAAAGAGCTGCAGGTTAAAATAAACAGGTTAAAATTATCGAAAGTTCGATTATGAACTTTCTATAGGACATCCCAGTAGTATAAGCTAGAGCAGCTGTGATAGCAATAATGAATGAAAATAGGAAGATACAGGTAGAATGTTGTCATTTTACTTGTCTTTAAAACTACAGATTAACTGTCCAGTGTTTTGGGGGGGAGGGGGTGGAGGGGAGTCAAAATTATTATTTGGCATGTAATATTTGTCAACATTTTCTGCACATCTTGATGAGCCTTATTAGTAAGGAATCTTTATAAAAGCCTTTAGAGGATGACACTGTTTCTGTGATAGATTTTACTGTAAAAACAACAAAGCACAAGGAAGATAAATATTGTCCTTCCTTCTTGCTTCAGAACGTATGTACTTTATTTCAGTGCATTGGCTGATGTGAAGAATAGAAAAATCATTGTAATCCATGCTGTTAAATAACACTGCTGTTATGTAATTCAAGGGTCAACCTGGCCCAAATGCAGGCTGTGAATCCAGCCCTGGCCCCTTTCCAGATCTGCTATGGTGCCCCACTATAAAAATTACACTTTGATTTACAAGATGCATGATTCAGGTGTGAATCCTATGAAATAAAATGAAAGGTGATTTATCTGTATATTTGGAATAAAATCATTGTATAGATACATTTGAATAACTAAAACCCGTCTTTTAGCCCTCCTTATAGCTGTAAATTACTGCCAAGAGGTATGCTGTGACCAAAGATTATGTGAAATTGGCAGTTGGCATACCTTGTTCATTCAGAAGAGACCTGTGCAATTTCATTCTGGTCTTCTTTCCCAGCCTTGGGACCGTGGCATATTTAGAAGAAGCTCTTAGATACCATTGTCAGTATTATTATTATTATTATTTTCATAGAGTGTTTGAGATGACTTTTGAGAGAATTGGGTTCTTCCTAATTCTGCACCTGTACTAATGACATCTTGCCTGCATCTCTATTTTTCCTCTGTGTTCCAATCTATAACCAGTGTTGTGTCAAGAGAGGGACTATGTGGTAAGTTAGTTAGGATGCTTCCTTGAATCTGTTTCAGAAGACGGTGTCCTTCATGATCTTCCTCTTGGGACAAAAGTGCTTCTCTGTTCAAACAAAGAAATTATACTTACAAGGAGCACCATCACCAGAATCAAAAACAGACTGGTACTGATTGTTTCTGGGAAACGGCGGGGGGGGGGGGGAGAGAGAGAGAGAATGGAGAAGAAGCAGGAGCTGTTCTAGATCGTATCTTCCCATTACAGATAGTCCTTGACTTACAAATACAGTTTGAGCCTGGCAATTACAGTGGTAAATCGCAAGTGACGGGATGCAGATGCTGCAGTCATTAAGCGAATCCATTGTTCTCTGCGGGCACTTTTTCCAGGGAACTGGAAGTCAATTCCTGTTTCCAGGAAAAGTCGTAAATTACAGTCACATGACTGTGGGACACTGCAAACAGCCATAAACGTGGACCAGTTGCCAACTGCCCAAAATGCAGTCACGTGACCAGGGGTGGCCATTGGAACTTCAGAACCGAGTCTTAAGTATCTTTGGGGGGGCTTTGGATAATCGCTAAGCCACCAGATGTAAGTTGAGGATTACCTGTAACTGCTTTCCTAAATGTCTTGTGCTTCAAACATGTGAAGTGTTACCTTTAGACCAGTGGTCCCCAACCTTTGCGGCTTAGCGGCCCAGCTGAGGGGGGCAGGGAGGGAAATCGGGCCATGTGAGCGGCAGGCTGGCACACGCGCACTACTTGACTTGCATGAGCGGCAGGCCGGTTTGCAGCTCGACTTGCTCAAGCTGAGCTGTGCACAAGCGTGCACTCGTGCTAGCCTGCTGCTTGAGCAAGTCGAGCTGCACGTGGACATGTGTGTGCTGGCTCATCCCTCATGCGGCCCAGTTCCAAATAAGCCAGGGCCTGGGCGTTGGGGACCCCTGCTTTAGACTATAAGGCAGTCTTCCTTGATCTTAAGCCCTTCAATTGTCATTGGCATCTGAAGGACAACAGATGAATAAAGACAGCCTTATTCCTAGCTAAAAACCCTGGCAATCATTCCACTGATGTCATTGTAAAATGTGTTGCCAGGTGTGAAGGTTTTAGGTATTGTGCCCTTTTTACAGTTCTCATCAATAGGTGAATTGTGTATTCTTTGTATACTTTTTATTTCTTTAAATATGTAAAAAAAAAGTATGTTGTACATACCATTCTGATGTAAACTTGTTCACACTTTATTGTCAACACAGATAAAGCATGGAGATAATTATTTAAGATATACTTGTATTTATACCTCAGATATTCTTTGAAGGAGAGGCAGGGTGTTTGTATCTCAAGTTGGCTGTCCTTTCCTCCAGTGTAAATATGTTCTACACAACTGAAAAAAAGGTAAAAGAAGAAAAGGTTTATACCTTGCTATTATATGCCTGTACAGAACATAGTCAATAAATGCACTATGGAGTGTTTGTGTTTGTGTGATACCTGAATTCTTCTCCATTTTCTATGACCTTTTGCAAATGTAGAGTCTACCCAAGAATAAAAGAAGGTGGGCATTTGATCCATGGGCCGGATGTATCAAATGTGCCTTGTCATACATGCAGATCTCGTTGATGTAGCTTTTCTTAATCCTGACATTGGAACAACAGTTGTAGATATTTCTAGTGTTGTTCAGCTTCCTTTAATCACATCCTCTTTAACTAGCAAAGTCTTTTCCAAACTTTGAAGGAACAAACCTCTCTTGAAGTATAATCCTATGCTGAGGTTTCAGCAAATGAGCAAGTTTGTAAGAACAGCTCTTAAGGCCTCAGCTTAAACCATTTAGGGCTCTTGTTGGTATTCAGTTTATCCAATTGCATAAAGCCTCAGATAAGCAGGCTACATTCTCATTTTAGTTCATCGGAATAATAGTAGAGCTGTTTAAATGAAAATGTTCAAAAACACAAAGGAAATACTGTTGGCCTGTCCAGGAAATGCGAAGGTTCCTTCAAAACAAAAGACAAAAGAAAGGGGGAAAAGTCCCCCAGCGATAAACTGGTGAAAGTGTAGTGCTTATACAGCAAAGGAAGGAAGCCAAAAACAGAGCTTTTGGGCTTTGTCTGTCGTTCTTAAGTATTTGGGAAGGTCAACTACAAAATGTTAGCACGTAATCACTAGAGAGAACACCTTTTTTGTGCCCTGGCAATAAGTTCCATTTGAGAATTTCTTGATTATTTAAATATCATATACCCACACTCATGTGCTTACACATCACTGGGGGAAGATTCAAGCTGGGGGGTCCAAAATGTCAAGACAGCTGTGACCGTGTGATTATAGCCCTGCCCCCTTTTTATTGAATAACAAAAAAGAAAAGAAAGGAAAAAAAAGAAAATAATTAAAAACATTGAACGTGGCAAATCAGCATTTGACAAACATCTCAGTTCATATTGACATTAATTACAGATAAAACTTTGCAATAACATCCTTCTAATTTCAATCTTAACTTATCTCATTACAATAACTTCCCTATTTTTGTTTTTTTTTTCCCACCATCTATAGAATTTATTCCATATTTGGTAAAAAAAAACTGTTTCATCCTGATTTTTTAATCTTTTAGTTAACCTGTCTAATTCTGCGCAATACATAATTTTCTGAATTAAAATTTCCCCACTAGGTACAGCCGTAGCTTTCCAGTTTTGAGCGAATAATATCCTTGCCGCTGTAACCACATGAATAAATTAAATACGTATCCTCTTTACTAACATTTTTTCAAGGATTCCTAACAACAATGTCTCAGGTTTGTACTGAATGTTTAACTTAATCATTTCTGTCACCCATTCCCAAACCGTATGCCAATACACCTGTGCTTCTTTACATGTCCACCAAATATGAAAAAGGTGCCCCTTTTTTGCATTTCCAACATAAAGATGAGTATCCTTTATACATTTTGGCTAATCTGGCTGGAGGGAGATGCCATCTGTACACCATCTTATATAAATTTTCTTTGTATGGTGACGCCAATGTAATTTTATTGTTTCGTGTCCATACCTGCTGCCATTGGTCCAAATTAATATTGTATCCTAGATCAATCGCCCATGTCGCCATTGCTGTTGACCTTCCTTTAGACTTGCAACAGATTGAATCCTTTAGGTAAAGACACAAACTCATGTGAAGATGAAATAACTAACAAGAAAATCTGCATTTGTTTATTCACTTCTAACCAGTTCCTCCTTGTCTGTTTAAGATTCTTAAGGAGGAATGACCGAGTCTCAGTTGTATTTCAAAGGCCTTTGAGAAAGATTTTGCCAATGGAAAGATATGTAGAAATAACAACAGACACCCAAGGGACACTGATTTTAAACCTCAATACTGACTGGCTGCAAAACCAGGACTCATTCTGTAAAACGGGTCTTCAAACTTGGCCACTTTAAGATTGTGGACTTCAACTCCCAGAATTCCTCAACCAGCTCTGCCTGGCTGTGGAATTCTGGGAGTTGAAGTCCACAAGTCTTAAATTAGCCAAGTTTGAAAAGCCCTGCTGTAAAACAACAGTTTTCCAGTGTATGCTGAGCTGTAACTTTGCTTTTACAAAGAAGATGATATGTGTCAGGTAAGAACTATTATAGACCCCATCTTATATTGTGAATAACTGGGAACCCTGAGTGGCCTGTTAGTGCCAGAAGCAACTAATACTTCTCTCAGGCAAGAAAGACAGTAAAACGAAGCAAACTAACGCCTTCTAGATGTATTTGGATTACCACATTCATAGCCCTTGCCATGCTGGCCAGTTGCCAAGCTTATAAACATTGTACTCCCAAGGTAGTTAGATGTACCACGTTACATTGCCTATCCTCAAACTAGGACGATAGGAATTTCACAAGCTAATGATCCACAAAAGAAACATATGTCCATTTGTACTGACTTATTGACCAGGATGATTACTCGTAACATTTTCTTGCCGAGTATCATATCTTCTGAAGAAAATTCACTAGAAGATTGGCTCTCTTATCAGGCACATGTTTATGCTCTATGAAAAAAGTCTTCTAGCTAAAATGGTACACAATCCACCGGTCTTCCTCAATAGACTGAGCGCCCTCTACTGGAAAACAAGATGTTTAACATTTCTGAAAGGTTTACTCTCCATTTCATAACAGTATGAAATTGTTCGATGGCTGAATAATTGCCCTGGACGTTATAAATGGAAATAAAATCAGCAAACGTGTCTACGAGCAGAAACAGAAATGCTGGCTCCCTTCAGCTTATATAAATCTTTCGCCTTTTAACAACAACTAGGCAGAACATAAAGGCGTAGTTGGCCTCTGCTGGATGCATCACTATTGCTAGAATTACACAACAGCTTGTTAGGAATCCTGTAGTACCTTTTCTAACAAATGCTGTTAAAAGGCATAAGAGTTTGTGAGCAACTCCTTTCATCAATTGCATTGAGTGGTTAGACCAGCACTTCCCAACTTTTTCTTTCTTTAACCAAAATAGCTTATCAGAAAGACTTTATTTAAATGTCCCTGAGTTTATGTGTCATTACCCACCCATCCCCCAAAAAAGCTTTTAACCAATTTTGGTTAATTTAATTTGGGAACAAAGTCTTTACTCTTAATTGGGACATATTTTGTGAGGATAATGCTATCTTCGCAAAATAAGGTAGTCCTTAATTTACAACCATTTAATGACCAAAGTTTTCACACTTGACAACCATTGCAGCATTCCCATGGTCACATGATCAAAATTCAGACACTTTTAACAATTGCAGTAGGTCAGTGGTGGCGAACCTATGGCACGCGTGCCAGAGGCAGCACTCAGAGCCTTTTCTGTGGGCACGTGCACCGTCGCCCCAGCCCCGCCTCTAACAACCCCCTCCTCACCAGCAGCCCCCCCAGAGGAGAGTCGCCCTTAGTTGTGGCCTGTGCAGAGAAGCACAGCCAAGGACATGGCAGCCGGGCAGCGGGTACAAGACTCCACCCCCGCGCCCCGCAGCATCATCTGCTGCGTGGCCATCATGGTGCTGCAGGGCTGCCTGGCAGGCCGTGGAGGTGGTAAGTGGTCCTGCGGAGGGCAAAGCGGGGCAGAAAGGGTGGGGCAGGAGGTGGGGTGGAGTAGGCGGGGCAGGGGGCAGAGCAGAGTGGGCAAGGCAGGGGGCGGAGTGGTTTTGGGCACTCGGTGTCTAAACGCTTTGCCATCACTGCAGTAGGTCATTTAACAACTGGCAAAAAAGGTCATAAAATAAGGAAAACTCAATAACTTCATTGCTTATTAATGGAAATTTGGGCCTGAGTTGTGATTGTAAGTTGAGGACTACCCATACATTTAAAATTTTACCACATAATACTCTTAAATGCAAAGAAATCAGGTTGGAATGAACCAATAAAGGGCACATTTTGACACAAAATCTCCAAGAGAGCAGTTTTATTTTACAATCAGGTGTGCTGTTTATTCATTTGAAGTACATAACAGCCCACTCCTTCCCCTAGGCCAGGGATAGGCAACCTTGGCTCTTTTATGATTCGTGGACTTCAACTCCCAGAATTCCTGAGCCAGCATGGCTCAGCTTAGAAACCTCTTCCTTTCCCCTCAGCATGGTTGGCTGAGGAATTCTGAGAGTTGAAGTCCACGAGTCATAAAAGAGCCAAGGTTGCCTACCCCTGTCCTAGGCGCAGAGTTCAATGGAGCAAAACATTCAAAGACTATTGGGATATGTTACTCATGCATAGGCATGGCACATAATGCCAGTTGTACTAGATATATAAGTGGGTCTTTGCAGCTATTTTGACTGGCAAGCAACAAGACAAAAGGTAACATTAAGCTTGGGAGGCTAGTAGCTATATCTCATTAAAAAGAAAACACATTCCAATATAGGAATCCACATTTCTCCACTGTCCTAAGGCAATATTATTTTGTCCTATGAATTTTTAGTTGCAATTTAGACCTCTCCTATATTTTTTAGGTTATTTGGGGATAGGAATTTGTAAAATCAAGTAATGTAGGGTCTTTATAGTCCAGAAGAGAGCCATCTACCATCAGCTCCTTGAACGTTTACAGCTCTAGACATATTTCAGTCACTGTCATTCCTAATTTGCAACTTTCAGTATAACAGCCAACTTTTTTTTTATGGTGACAATGCAGAATTATTCGGGGGGGGCCTCCAATTGTGTTGAATTTCAATCCCATTTTCTGCCCTTTAGGCTAAGAAATCTTAGGTACACTTAAAAAAAAATAAAGCTTTGTTGCATTATAATGAAACAAAATACAACATTCCATATACAGGTTTTTATGATCAAATATCTACATTTTATTAGTTACTGTAGAGTCACTGAAAATCTGGACATTTTAAATGAAATGTTGTTTAACATTTAAATGACAGTTCAGACAGTTACAGAACAATATTTGGTACAAAGTTGGCAACTACAATATTGAGAATTGCTACTCCAAATACATGGCAAGAAGTTACCCACTAATGAATTGGCATTGAGTTCTAAGTTTTTAACAGTTTGAATGAAATATGCAATGATATTTCTGTCATTCTGAGGTGCACAGCAGTACCTTATAGTGTGGTATCCTGTGAATTTGGACTATATGAATTCACCACTACAAATGCAGTTTCAAGAATACTTGCCTATCATTTGGATAAATTAAAAAGTCTAATTCTTCACGAATAGTTGCCTATCATTTGGATAAACTAAAAAGTCTAATTCTTCACAAGAGGTGCCTATATCTCCAAGTTAAAAGATGTACAAAGCAGGCACATGATGAACAACAAATGACATTTGCCACAAAAAGCAACTGTAGTTTTGACAGGCCACCTGTGCCTCCAAGTTGATTCCTTATTCCCCTTCTTAATTCAGAGGGAATTCATTTCAGTACAATTTGCAGAAAGCCAATTCTGCCCCCTGCTTATAGAATAACTATCCCCATTATAGTTTCAGCAAAGGCAACCATGTGGGAGAAAGATTCCACCTCTGCAATTCCAAAAGTTAAATTTGTTCCCTCTGACCAATGGCATATTGTATTTATTGCAGTAGCAGGACAGAACAGAAGCATGTGACTCAGTCTAAATGGATCACGAGAAAGAGGGAAAATGTTATTTTCTGAGCTCAACTTCAGATGCTGATAATAGCCTACAAAGTCTAAAGGTCTCGGCCATTATTCCCATGATCATGTTTTACTCGAACTTTTAAAAACTAGCCTGAAATATACTCTTACATGCAAGAGAAACTGGTGTGAGAACAAAACAAGATGGCGGCCACAACTTATTCCATTTTTACATGCAGCACATGTGATACACTTAAAAAAAAGTGGATCATTTAAAAAAAATGTACAGGTAGTTCTCAACTTAACAACAGTTTGTTTATGACCGTTCAAAGATACATCAGCACTTTTAAAAAGTGACTTATGACCATTTTTCACAGATACGACCTTTGAAGCATCCCCATGATCATGTGATCAAAATTCAGATTCTTAACAACAGGTTCATATTTATGACTGTTGCTGTGCCCCAAGGTCATATGATCATCCTTTGCGACCTTTTGACAAGCAAAGTCAATGGGGAAGCCAGATTCACTTAACAACTGTGTTACTAATTTATCAACTTCAGTGATTCACTTAACAACTGAGGCAAGAAAAGGTGTCAAATGGGACAAAATTCACTTAACAAATGTCTCGCTTAACAACATAAATTGTGGGCTCAGTTGTGGTCATAAGTTGAGGACTACCAATATTGTATGGCAGATGTATGCTAGAATAACTGTTATTGTAAGCCAAACTAGATCTGTTAGGATGTGAAAAAGAAAGCTTCTGGAACATCATAGCCCACTTCTGAAAAACTGGAAGGCATTAAATCCTGAAATGGCCCATCTCCTGGAAGTGTGTGTGCAAGTGTGTTATACATGCATACACATACAAGGTGTTGTCAGGAATAAGTAGAATCTCCATCCCGTGCTACTGAAATAGTATCAGCAGCTAAAGAAGAAAAATATTTAATTTAAAACAATTAAGCACAATCATTGTGTCATCCCATAAAAATGGTTTGCTAGAATGGCCTAGTTGCTATGAAGAAGTATTAAAAAAACCCAAAGGATTTGATTAACACACAATGGCTTGGTTTACCCACAAGATGAAGTCAGACAATCTCAATTTGTTTGTGTCAAGATCACAATTCATAAGGCAGGGTGATAATTTGCACATTTTCATGTTATGCCAAACCAAAACCCACAAAGCCCGTGATTTCTTTTTTAACACAATAGCTGGCATCTTTCCCACGCTTGTATTCTGATTTGTGTTCTGCTTCTGTACCAATCTCATGACGTTTTGTGTATTCTAAACTTTGGCAAGATCTGATATGAGATTTCAGCATTTTTCTTTGACTATTTTTAGCAAATTCCTTTCATTCAGGGAGGTGAGATGGTTTTCTGACACTCACAGGTAGTAGCCATTTTTTGTGAGTTAAGATATGGAGTACATGCCAACAGAGGTCAAATGCAACAGGTGATACGGTATCAGAGGAGACCCATTTATACAAGCAAGACTGGTATTAGCACAAAGCCACTTGTCACCAAAGACTTAGAGTACACTTCTGTCGTTATAAATGGCCATTTGTAAAAGATACAGAAATCTTGCATCTCACAATCACCTGCAGCATCATGCAGTTCACAAAAAAAGCAAAAAACGTTTTTAATTACAAAGCCAAGAAGCACATCCTTTGAGGTTTAGACATAATTTCAACTAAATTATTTTAAGGAATTTGTTTTTGGGTAGAAAAGCACTGGGAATCTTGAGTGTAAAGCACTAACCTTATCTTTCTGCTAAGTGTAATTTTAGCACCCCAGAAGGAGAGATATTATATATGGAATAACTAAACAAAGAAAACATTATCCTTGTTAAAAAAAAATCAAATCCACACACAAACACCATATTCCCAACTCCAACTTTATGTACTGAATAGATCAGTTTCTCTCATTATCTTTTTATTTCATAACTACGCTACAGAAAAAACGACCAGGCGAAGAAAGACGATTGAAATGTATACATGAAGTTAGGGTTTTGGTTGAGTTGAGAAATAAATGGAAAAAGAAAAATCAAATGTTAAATTTAGTCTTCAATCTTTTAGAAAACAACCAGGGTTGTCTCAGGGTTATAGTCAAAAAATTAAGACAACATATGTATAATAACAAACGGACCTTCAAGCATTCCATCAGAGCTGTCATCTTGGGTTTTTTTTTAACCATATCTTCTCTTAATTCAATATGTCCCATCTTGAAGAAAAAAATGGCTGCGTTCAAACAGAATTCTAAATATTTTCTACTATGAGAATGGATAAACTGCTGTGGTAATGAGGACAAAGCAAAGTTTGTATGCCTTTGCACATGGCTTGCTTTTTTGAGTGACAGTTTTAAATTCTGGTTTCTGGTTCGGATTTGTTTCCATATATCTTACACCAGAAAAGTTGTAATCCTAAATTTATACACAGAAACAAAATGGAAGCAAATATTTATATTCTTCCTGATTCTTCTTGTATGGTGGAGAAGACAGGAGAAAGCACACAAGCCTGAGATTATTGCTAGGTTTTACTGTGTGTGTGTGTGTGTGTGTGTGTGTGTGTGTGTGTGTGTGTGTGTGTGATGTGTGTATGTATATATGTATGCATATGGATACGTATAATTTCAATGCTTGCTGACACAATTATTATTTGCTATTTATTGTGCTTAAATAAAAATTATGTTACTAAATATTAACCTCCATCTAAACTTAGTGGTTCTATTTATCCACAGCTGTGGCTACATCTGGCTGATCTCAGAAAGCTAAGCATTGTTATTACTGTTGTACTAGACAACCCTCAAAGTTCATGGGTTTTGTCTGGACTGAGAAGCTGAAAAATATCCTGAAGGCAGAGGTGGTAAACCATTTCAATGTTGTTGCCCAAAGGCATTCCAACATGGAATACTATCTACATGAAATCAGCAGTCAAGTGAACTTGGGTTTGTTTATCCAAAGATGTTGTCCAGAGTCCTCTGTACCCAGATTGCAAAAGTGGGTGACAAAGGGATGGTTATTACATATTGGAGTTCTTTCCCTCTGTAGCATGCTGAGAATGACTGTCCTGCAAAGAGGAAGGTATTCCATTCTCCACTTCGTTCACTTTGGAAGTCCTGTCCTCCTAGTTCAGGGGTCTTCAAACTTGGCCCTTTTATGACTTGTGGATTTCAACTTCCAGAATTTCATAAAAGAGCCAAGTTTGAAGACCCCTGTCCTAGTTTATGTACCAGAGAAATAGGGCTTCCCTAAAATCTTACTCTCCCAACATGTAACTCATCAAGGGGGTAAATCAAATGCTAAAATAGTCTAAGTTCAGCTCCTTACTTTGGTCCTGGATCACTATGAGTTCTTGACAAAGAGCAGCAATAGTATCATCCTTCCAGCCAAAAGAGCTGGAAGGAGCATTGCTTTTAATTTGATAGAATTATTAGAATCATTAATATTCTATTAATCATCAACACTATCATTGGCTATCAACTCATGCAAGATATTTAAAATAAGGATCTATAACCTAAAATCAGAGATGTTTGCAATTCACCTAAAAAATAGCAAGCCATACAGATCATTGTAAAATAAATTATAAGTGTTGGGGGTCAAAAAAGTTACAGTTGCAGGCGTGACTGCGTTAATTAAAGCCCTGCCCCTTTTTAGATGTGCCGTATGTCAGGACCATCCTCTGGAGTTTTTTGACCCTTTCTTCATGGACAGCCTTGGTATAAAGTGCTGATACAGACAGTCCTTGACTTACAGTCAGTGACCATTCAAAGATAGGATGAACTAGAACAGGGGTAGGCAACCTTGGCTCTTTTATGACTCGTGGACTTCAACTCCCAAAATTCCTGAGCCAACATGGCTCAGCTTGGAAACCTCTCCCTTTCCTCTCAGCATGGCTGGCTCAGGAATTCTGGGAGTTGAAGTCCACGAGTCATAAAAGAGCCAGGGTTGCCTATCCCTGGACTAGAAAAAAAAGTTACTTACGACCCATCCTCAAAGTTACGACTGCGACATCACCGCTGTGGTCACATAATTGCATTTTGGCCACTTGGCTCATATTTATGATCGGTTGCAGGGTTCCACAATCAGATGATTGTGTTTTGCAACATTTTTGGCATTTTTCAGCAAAAAAAAAATATCATTGGATAAAATGAGTTGGTATTTATAACTGTGTGGTTCACTTACTAACCATTGTTTCATTTAACCATGATTTACTTAATCACATTCGTAAAACCAAGTATAAATTCCAGTCAGGTGGTGCCTCGATTTATGACCTCAATAACATAGGACCGAAATTCCGGTCCCATTTCTAGTGGCAAGTCAAGGATTACAGTATCTGTAATGCAAAAGGTCTTAGACTTAGCATATCACCTAGCTAAATTTGTATTAGGGATGCCTTCCTGTTCAGTGTGTACTTGGATCACTACTAGGCACTTAACACCGTACTAGCTCATCATCCTTATACCAAGCCAATGTTTTTTTTCTGCTACTTTTATAGATTTTCTGAGTTGCAGGATTTCTGAGTGGTAATGATTTAGATGTATCCTAACCAAACAATGCTGCATTTAGGGCCAACTCAAAGGGCTTCAAAACAGCGGAACCTGTTTTGAATAAACCTTTTGCTCCTTCCACTTAATTGAGGTGGTAGGAAGGGGAAGAATTGGTAGGAAGGAAATCTATGATTGTTTTGCATCTCATCTAACAGATGACATAGTCAACTCCGTTCTGTTTTCTTGGTTTTTTCTTGGCAACTGTGAATATCCAAAGCATCCTTTTTGCTTTGGCACACATATATTGACCAGATATAATTTTTAAAGTCACATGAAAGAGCAGCAGCACTGGAGTCTTCTCCCATCTTTAGAACCCCATGTTATGACTTGTAGCATGCATTTAATCTACAAACACAAGTAACAGGTACACAACTTTTCAAATTTCTCCAAGCAATCCTGCAAATTTACAGCACTATTATTTACGTAGTTCTGTTGATTGTGCTCCAAGTATAGTTGTCCTTAATATGTGACTACAGCGACTGTGATGTAGAAGTAGGGGGGAAATAACCCACTGCAACAATGCCTCAAAAACAAGAGATGTTCTAATGAAATTCTATACAGAGAAAGAAAAATGAGATGGACTGGATTTTTTAAAATGCAGGAGGATAAGTTACTAGGAGGAAGAAAAGACAATAATGAATGGCAGTGCAATTTTCAAGATCCAACAAAGCCTTTCAAAATGTACCTTGATTTTGCAGAATAAATAAAATGGTCTCATAGCACCTAGCCTAGTGGTGGCGAACCTATGGCTGTACTCAGAGCCCTCTCTGGGGGCACTTCTCTGAACTGCTGGTGGCGGGCTGCGGAGCCCCAGAGTGCGCATTAGCTGCACTGTTGGCCCCCATGCATGGGGGCTGATGGTGTCAGGAAGCAGCTGTCCCGGCCCCTGCCTTGCCTTGCCCTGAGATAATGGCACCCCCACCCTGCCTCGCCTCACCCCTTAGGACGAGCCTCCTACTCACCATCCCACCTGCCAGAGACCTCCTGAATCTCCCCCAAACCTGCCCATCCCCACAGGCGTCCCTCCCCACAAGCAACATCGAAGTGACCACGCCCACCTTGGCCACACACCCAGTCTGCCATGACCACCACAGCCACGCCCACCCAGTGGGCCATGCCCACCTGGCATCTGGCAATAAATAAATGGGTTTTGGGTTGCAGTTTGGGCCTAGCCATCACTGACCTAGCCAAACCTGATTATCTCGTCCAGAAAAAGCCAAACAGGGTTATAACAGTGAGGACCTAGGTGAGAGCCCAGCGTGAAATCCCCGGATTCTAGACTAGATAAGTGATTTGAGAAAACATCCCATAGGAGGCAATAATGAACCATTTCCTTTTACTCACCAGAAATGGAACTCGGTTCAAAACCTCCCTTTGAAAAAGAATATGGATAATCTCTTTCGCTTGTTGTGTGGATGAAAGATGAATGACACTCTGCCAACTGTAGTGTGAACTAAGACCCAGGCCATTCTGACAAGTAAACCAGAATGTAGTAACATTGCTGAGTATAGTTCTAGAACAAGAGTGTCCAAGCTTGGCAACTTTTAAGACTTGTGGACTTCAACTTCCAGAATTCCCCTAGTTGGGGAACTCTGGGAGTTGAAGTCCACAGGTCTTACAGTTGCCAAGGTTGGACACCTTGGTCTAGACAAAACCACCATGGTTGTAATGATCTTGGAGACCATTGGAGATCACTTCATCCCCCAAAGCACAACTGGTTGGTACCATTCTTGAAATCAGTCAGAGAGTTTCCAGATTATCTGAAATAAGGAGAGTAGAATGATTATATATTGGGTACTTAGCTGATGCCAGCCTCTTTTGAACTGCTTTGCATTCAAACTATTGCTTCAGTTATCAACTAAACTTAGAAATACAAAATTTAAGGCTTCAATATTTGGCTTAATTTTTAAACTTCTTTTTCCACCTTGTTTTTAATATATGTAACATCCTGTCTGTTGAAAAGTCCTCACGAACTCAATAGCTTACAGACACTTGCCCTTTAAAGCTAATCTCCAGGGTTTTGATTAGAGTTAGACATTTTAAGCATCATTTGTGTTTTCAGCTTAACATAAATTGAAGTTCATTCTGAAGAAATTGGATTTGTTCTCAATAGAAATCAAAAAATATTTATAAATCGGCATTATTATATAGCAGAAAGCAATTTAGGGTGAGGGTTTTCCCTATTGCAGTGCAGAGGTTATATATTTATTTCATTTATATGGCACCTATTTCACTACCAAGTGAATCTGGCCAGCTTATTGGTGCAGTGCAGGGGGGGGGGGGAAAGTTCCAGCTGAAACTAAACATTTATTTGTAAATGTTCACCATCTCTACCCAGGAGAAGAAGAAAAATTATACTATTAAGAAACAGCAATCTTTTAAAAAAAACCAATTTATTTTCAAAGGATACAAAATTTCAGTGTTAAACTAAGGCAGCAGTAGGCAACCTTGCCTCTTTTATGACTCGTGGACTTCAACGCCCAGAATTCCTGAGCCAGTATGGCTCAGCTTCAAAACTCTCCCTTTCCCCTCAGCATGGCTGGCTCAGGAATTCTGGGAGTTGAAGTCCATCAGTCATAAAAGAGCCAAGGTTGCCTATCCCTGAACTAAGGTGTTAGGAACTGCTTATCTCTAATTAATGTTCTTATATATCAGATAAAATCAGGTATTATCTGATGACTAAGCTATCAGATAATAACATTTTTAAAAAATCAATAGTCCTGTGAATTTAAAAAACTGCTTCTAGGCAGATCCTCAAGTCTGCATATGAAACAAGTAGATTCCTTAGTTCTTTTTTTTCGGATTAACTTGTTATTGAATAAACTGAAGAAGCAGGTGCAACAACCATATCTAAAGTAGACATTCACTGATAACAGTTAATTCACTGCAAGGAAACAGACTGCTTGAGCATAATACTAAACAATGATTTAGTGATACATGCATAGGATCATTTCTTCTCTTGGCTCTAATTTTTTGAGTTGGCTTCATGGGGAGGATGGGAAATTTTTACATAGTTTAAGCCAAAATAAATGGTTGGCCCTAAAGGTAGGGTTTAGGAAAACAAGGATCAGAGAATATGGTTTGAAGTTGGTTTATTTCATTAAATCCTACTGAAAGCTAGTCACAACTCGTGTAGATTTAGAAACACCAAGAAAATTGTCGCTGCCTGAATGAAGCCTATGGAAAATGTACATTTTTGGAGTGTTTGAAATTTTGCAGCTCATCCATTCACTGACTTTGCTCAGATCTCGTAGAGCAGCGGTTCTCAACCTGTGGGTCGCAACCCCATTTGGGGTTGAACGACCATTTCACAGGGGTCGCCAAACAACGCGATCCGCCATTTTGTCTGCCATTTTTTCCTCAGCCGGCGCAGGGGGCGGCACCACGCAGGGGGCCGCGCAGGGGGCCGCAGCGCGCATGGGGCGCCGCATGGGGCAGCGCATGGGGCGGCACCACGCATGCGCGCCGCAGCGCACATGCGCGACGCATGCTTATGACCGGGGTCACCGGTATAAAAAGGTTGAGAACCACATCGTAGAGCAACCACAGTTGAGGCTGGCAACCCGGTCCTTAAGTGAAGTGGTCACCAAGTGAAACTGCAACAGTGTTTATGATCTTATGTCAGCTTCCCTTTGCTTTACAGACCTGCAAAGATCGTTAATGCAAGGATTGGTCATAAAGTGACTTTTTCATCACCCTCATAGCTGAACTGTTGTTCAATGGGGACTATCTATAGCTGTTGTGACCTTGCAGTTGCAGATTAGAAGTCATATTGTTGTTGAGTATTTGCAAGCAGCATCTCTTCTACAGAGATCATCTGCTTGTTTTTCCTGGAGATATTTTGGGGACAACTCATTTTGCCCTCTTTTGGTATCTGCCTCACCTCTTTAAAATTCCATAGGAAGTAGCCTTCATTTTTTTTTAGGGCCTTTTGCACTGTTAGGTCTCGGCAGTCGATTTAGATAGCAAGATTTCTTCAAAAGAGCATTTTAAAAATTAAATGTGTATTTCACCAAATTCCTGACCAAAAAAGGCTCAGATGGTAAAACGCAAGCACAAATTGTACTGCCATTTCATTGGGAAGACACTACAAGTAGTCCTCGACTTACAACAGTTCCTTTAATGACCATTCAAAGTTACTTACAACCGTTTTTCACACTTAGGACCATTGCAACATCCCCATAGTCACATGATCAAAATTCAGACACTTGGCAACTGATTCATACTTACGACGGTCGCAGTGTCCCGGGGTCACATGATCCCCTTTTGCAACTTAACAAGCAAAGTCAATGGGGAAGCCAGATTCACTTAACAACTGTGTTACTAATTTAACAACTGCAGTGACTTAACAACTGTGGCAAGAAAGGTCATAAAATGGGGCAAAATTCACTTAACAAATGTTTCACTTAGCAACGGAAAGGTTGGGCTCCGTTGTGGTGGTAAGTTGAGGATTACCTGTATTTTCAGGGGAGTGGGGGGAGGGGGTATGAAGAAATGTCTCCTTCTTTCTCGTGTAAAAAGTTTTATTTATAAAATGCTTAAAAAAAAACAAAACACCGCCAAATTTCCTAAAAGCAACACAAATTGAGGACGGGCATTGGTAAAAAAGCTTGCTCTTCAACAAACCATTAAGTGCTATTCTTTCATCGTGACGTCTTTGCGCACAGAATGGATGACCAAGGTTGGCAAAATGTGCACCATTCCTTCGATCGCCGTTTCTGGAAGCCCAACTTTTCAGCCATCGCTTATTGTTTTCCTCACAATAATGCACCAGTTTCCATGGTCATAGCTTGAACTTACTATGCGAACCTCAGGAACGTTGTCTTCGAGGAGAGAGCACAGCTCCCCTTCGCGAAAAACATGGTAATAGCGCATGAAGGCTCTGGGGTCCTGTCCGTTAACCGCGCAGTCTCCCACCGCCACCGCTGAGTCTACCACCGAGTTACTGGAGCTAACAGATGAAATCCTTCTCAAGGCTTTTCCTGCAAAGGAATGACTCTTGCTTTGATGGCTACAGCTATTCTTTATGTTTTCCACAGACCCTCTTAGAAACGAGGTTTCTCCGTTGTGGTGTTGGACCAATGTAGCCGGCTCCCCGTTAAAACCCCTCAGGGACCCTGAAGCTGCCAGCCGCTGGATTTCTTTACAAGCCACGCACTTTGTAAACACGTCATCATAGTGATCTAGCCGCCGTTCCCTGAGCAATGCTGACTGACACCCTAAGTCTACACTGCAGTGCCTAAGGGGCTGAATAGAAATGGCGTTGCTCGTCCATCCCACCGCATCCTTCAAGGGCTCCATCTTTTCATTTTGCTTTCTTAAGGCAGACTCGTCAAGTGATCTGGAGGAAAACCAGGAACGAAAAGATCTCCCGAGGGCACCGTAAAATCTTTTTTCTTCGTCTTCAGTAATTTTCACGCAGCAGGATCCAGGGAGGCAGTTACCCAATCTCAGAGGATGTTTCTGATCAAGGAGACCAGGGTGGCTGCGTTTTGAACTTATCGGTGGCTTTGAGTGCATTGTCTGAGTTTCCGTGGGGGATGCAATACCAGTGTTGTTGGATTCTGAAAGCAACCGTGAACACAAGGCTTTGTTCCAAGGGACAAATATGTCCTGTTTCTCAAAATGCCGGGTTTTTTGCTCCATAGCCCAGACGTAAATCATCATTTGGCCACCGGGTACCAGCACCCTGACCATTTCCTGGATCGCCTGGATCCGTCTTTGTTTTGTGGAGAAATGATGAATCACTGGAAAAAAAAGAGGAAACCGTATTCTTTCATTAGGGATATGCATATTTTGAATTAAATGTCTTTAGAGTTATGATTCAAGAGTGGCATTGCTCATTAGTAGCATTTGCAATATTTTCAAAATTAATTCTTGGTTCTATTGTGCTGCATGATAAAATGGACGAATAGCTTTGCCAGCTATTAGAGGGCCAAAAAAAAAACTATGCAACTCATAAAATCCATTGCCTTCTAGCCTAATTTGTTTAATTCTTCTATTTTCAGTTTATGGACTAGATTGAGAAGTAAAAGGGGGAAAAAGAAAAAAAACTGTAAGAAGATAATAGCAGATGGCTTCCATTTTGTTACCAGTAGCAGCAGTAGCAACAGCAATACTACTACTAATATTACTACAAACAATAATAGCCATAGCAATAGCACTTATATACTGCTTCACAGTGCTTTACAGCCCTCTCTAAGCGGTTTACAGAATCAGCCTATTGCCCCCAACAATCTGGGTCCTCATTTTACTGATCTTGGAAGGATGGAAGGTTGAGTCCACCTTGACTCGGTCAAAATCGAACAGCTGGCAGCTGGCAGTCAGCAGAAGTAGCCTGCAAGTACTGCATTCTAGCCACCAGGGCTCATAATATACCACCAGCACAGATCAATTATACCATTGGCACAAGTCAATTTCAAAAGGAACAGCTTTACTTGGAACAGCTTACATCCTGCAATGGTACCTTTAACACCATCAAACAAGAACATCAGCCTATCCTAGGTCCTTGGGAAAAAGATAGGCGGGTAAAAATGCCAAATCCAATCTAAACATCTGGCTGACTGTGACCAGCAATAATAATAATAATATTGGTATGTCTGTGTGGTTACCAGAGTGAGCCTGAGTCAAGAGAGAAATTATCTTTTAAAAGTTTTCTAAATTAATTTTTTAAAAGTTAACATTTCTTGAAAAATGCTAGCTATGCATATGCAATATTGTATATAAACAAAATAGCTATATTTGTATGCATCTATTGAATTAAAAAATAGAGGAAGCCTATTATATAGAAAAACCTGTAGGGTGAAAAAGGATTCATATTAAACTAATGGAAAAATGAAAATGAAAATTAAAAAAAAAAACTTTAAAAAGAAAACTAAACAAAACTAAAAATGTACAGGTGCAAAATACATACAAATGATATCTAAACTTTAAAAATAAGGCTATGGAGATGATTTAATTCTCTTATACTTTATCATCACCATTCCATTCCTGTTTTCTGAGATTTTAGCAGATGACCACGTCTAATTCACTATAATCACTTCTCATCTTTGCAGATACCGTTTTTTATGAAGAAAAATGCATATTGTAGCTTAGATTCCAATGTGTTTCTTTAACAACCTTTTTTCCCCCGTGTCAGGGATATCACATTTTCCCATTTCCCGTGTTTTCCCATTTTCCCAAAGCACATTTGTTGCAGGTTTACAATTATGGCTGTATCTAATTCAGTTCTGCCCACTATGTACCCAGGCAATTTCTGATATAGCTTTCTGATATATCACGCTCTCTAATCAACAAAGCATTGCATCCTCTGCTGCTTCCAGCCCAAGCAAATTATTCTGCCCCCCCCCCTTCTAAACATAGGGGAATCATTCATGCACGTTTATTTTCCAAAATTCTGAGTTTACTTATACTCAGCTAAGTTCAGTTTAAAAATATTGGGTATAAAATGAAGAGAAACATCCCTGCTTAAAATTTCCAAATATCAGTTCTTTTCAGCCTACTGAGATGGGGCACTTTTTTCAACTGGAAATTCCGGGAATGAGGCATAGGGTCTTTCCTTAAATGCTCTCCCAATGGGAACAGGCTGATTGATTCATACATTAGCTAACCAGAGAAAAGGACATCCTCTAAATCAGTGGTTCTCAACCTTTTTATACCGGCGACCCCAGTTATAAGCACGCGGCGCGCATGCGTGGTGCCGCCCCCTGCGCTGGCTGAGGCATAGCCGGCAAGGGGCGGCGGCAGGCAGGCCCGGACGCTCCCGGGTGGCTGCAGCAGCAGCGGCACAGGGCGACCACCGGCTGGGCCACCAGCTGGCCCAGCCCAAGGCAGGTAAGGCACCTGCCAGGCCCCACGCGCACCAGCAACCCTCCTTGCACCCACCGGCCTCCCACCTCCCACCCCCGGCCCTCTTTTACTTACTTTTTAGTTGCTCAACAGGGAGGGAAGCTCTGCAGACTGTTCCCCTTACAGCACCGTTTGCAGACTGGGGCTTTTGGCGGGCTCAGCAGTGCAGAGACAGCCCTGGACAATTCCTATTGGCTTTTGAAAGCCAACAGAATTAGACTCTGTTCAAGAGAGTCTATTCTATTGGCTTTCGAAAGCCAATAGAATAAGAGGGAGTAGCACAGCTAAGGAAAAGGGGGAAAAAATGGCGGAAAAAATGGCAGATCACGTTGTTTGGCGACCCCCGTGAAATGGTCGTTCAACCCCAAATGGGGTCGCGACCCACAGGTTGAGAACCGCTGCTCTAAATGTTCTTAGTTTACCTTTGTCTTCTTTTCCCCTGTAGCCATGCACCCTTCTTGTTTTTGTTTTTTTTTAAGAATGCTTATATAAAATCCCTGAACTGGCCTGACAAAAATCCCTATTATCTAATCTTCCTATAATAAGTAAATATTAATGTAGTGTCAACTGGTACATATTGAAAGTGTTTCCTCTTACTGAAACTGTTCAGACAATTAAAAACTCTTACCTCCCACGGAGATGATGGCATTGAAGCACAGGTCCCGAAAAGGGAGGTGTAGGTTATCACAGATCATTACTTCACAGCCTTTACTTCTTGCAATCTCTATTAAGGGGCCACAATAATCGCATCCAAGATTATACACTAGGTGGTTGACATCAAGATATTTTCCAGTCCCACAGCCTTAAGCCAAACAAAAGAGATTTTTTAAACGCGAGATTGATTGCCTTCGTTCGTGAGAATTTTTTACATAGAAGAAGAAACCAGGAAATCAGAAAGAGGTCCATGGCCAACACAACATAGTCCTGCTTAGCTCCCCTCAACATGTCTAAACCTAAAACATGGGCAGTTGTCCCAGGATTTCTGCACTTTCATTTGAACATCAGGAATAATGGTGGGTTTTCTAACTTGGAGAGATGCTGAGAAAGAACTTAAACACTCCTCGTTGCTGGAAATGGACTGGAGTCTTGTTAATGGTTGGAAACTGATCAAAGAGAGAAGCAACCTGGAAGTAAGGAGAAACTTCCTGACAGTGAGGACAATCAACCAGTAGAACAGCTTACCCCTAGAAATTGCGGGTGTCCCATCACTGGAGATTTTTAGAAAAGACTGAGACGGTATAGGTTCTCCTGCTTGAGCTGGGGGCTGGACTAGAAGACCTCCAAGATTCCTTCCAGCTCTGTTCTGTTCTGTTCTGTTCTATTCTACTCTACTCTACTCTAATGAAAAAGAGGCCTGACAGAGATTCAGGATTGGTTGGGATTGGTTTCTAGCATCAGTGTGCTCTGTGTGAAGAACGTAGGGTTCAAAAATGGACCCTTAAGAGAAAAGGGGAGGCATGTTATATGACTTCCACTTCTGCTCTCCAAGGAGAGGAATATTTCTGTGCTTTTACACACTGTAGATCCTGTATAATCTAAAGTACACAGATAATAAGTTCATTTCTTCAGAGAGGGTTTGAACCATACAGAATAACGTTCTGGCTATCTATATCTGAGGAGACCAGATAAGACAAAAATGGTCAACTATTACCTACCTTTGCTTCAGAACAGGGAATTAGCCATTCTTCTGATCGTTCCCCTCCCCACATCCAAAACTGCCATTCTGCCTATGAGCTCCTCACACAGTTGGGATTCTCTTGTCATCTCTTTTCTTCCATCTCATTCAGGATCTCTATAGAGAGCTTTTTAAAAAAAAAAAAAAAAACAACTTACCAATATCTGCAATCAGGCTGCCAGGCTTCTGTTCAAGTAGAAACTGTCGGACCCGGGGCCACGCTTTGCCTTGCAAGTCATTGAAATAAGAGGCTGTGCTTTCATAGACCTTATGGACATGTTGCTTTTCTAGCTGGAAGGCCTCATGTTCCATTCTACAAGAAACCACAGACTGAGTATGTATCGAAGCAGTAACACATTTATGAACTATGGTTAATTTCTAGAAACACAGGAATAATAATGGTCAATTCACTATATCAGGCTGAACAACTTGAGGCCCCAGGATTTAAAGCATTTTTAATGCCGGTCGTAAGTCGAGGACTAAACCGGTCGTAAGTCAAGGACTACCCAACCGGTCATAAGTCGAGGACTCTCCCTGCCCGGGAGCGCCACGCATGTGTGGTGCTGCCCCCTGCACCGGCCGAGGCGTAGCTCGCAAGCGGCAGAGACGGAGCAGGCTGACCACCGGCTGGGCCACCAGCTGGCCCAGCCCAAGGGAGGTAAGGCACCCGCTGGAAAAGGGGAAAAAAATGGCAGACAGCCTTGCTTGGCAACCCCCGTTGAGAACCGCTGATTTAAAGTTTATTGCCCTTCCCTGAATGCAACCGATTCTTTTTTTTTCCTCAAAAGGAATCTAATTGGCCAATTGCAATTCTCATCCCATCTACATCAACTACATCTTGCAACTGAGCTGCTTAACTTGTCCCATTGCAGTCCTGATTTGTCAGTATACAAGAGTATGGAGATGGGGCCATGAAAAAAACTGGAATTAAGGAGAAACTTCCTAAGTAAAAAAAAAAAAAAAAAGAGCCGAGGTGGCGCAGCAGTTCGAGTGCAGTACTGCAGGCCACTTTAGCTGACTGTGTTCAGCAGGTCAGCGGTTCAAATCTCACCGGCTCAAGGTTGACTCAGCCTTCCATCCTTCCGGGGTAGGTAAAATGAGGACCCAGATTGTTGGGGGCAATGTAAAATATATATATATACATTGCTTACTGGTGTACACCGCTTAGAGAGTGCTTGCACTTAAAGCGGTATATAAGTCTCATCAATAAATAAATAAATAAATAAATAAGTTCACCTTTAGAAGTGGTGGGTGCTCCATCACTGAAGGTTTTTAAGAAGAGACTGGACAGCCACTTGTCTGAAATAGCTTAGGTCTATTTCAAGGTCCCTTCCAGCTCTATTCTGACTGTAAACTGATTATATTATTATAGTCTATATTGATACTATACCCTATATAGTCAGTCTCAATAAAACAGAGTTTTAATATTTTTTTTCATATCTTTCATAACTTAGTTATCTTCAACAGCTGATAACGGGGATTCAGTGAAAATGAGACTCTTCAAAGCTTTCCTGGAAGCCAACAGACGCTCAGTGAACTCATTGAACCATTCAAGAGTACTCCTAAATCAGTGGTTCTCAACCTTTTTAATGCCGCGACCCCCAACCGGTCGTAAGTCGAGGACTACTCAACCGGTCATAAGTCGAGGACTACTCAACTGGTGCAGCACCGTTTGCAGAATGGGACTTTTGGCGGGCTCAGCAGGGCAGAGACAGCCTGGACAATTCCTATTGGCTTTTTTTTTTATTATTAAATTTTTTTTTAAATTTTACAAAACAAATCCCCTCCCCAAACCCACCCTCCCATACCCTCCCCCATCTCCCCAAACCTCCCTAACCCTCCCCTAGGCCTCCCAGAGTTGATTACAGGCTTATCCTAAATATTTCAAAAAGAAAAAAAAAAAAGAAACTTAAAACACATATGAATCCTAAACAAATCTGAATACCTTAAATTAAGTAGATTATCTTCTCTAAAAAAAATAATAATTAAAATCATTAAACACATTATAATATACTCTAAACTTTCTTTGAACATCTATACCTATAATATAAAATCTAATATAAATCATAAACAAATCTAAATACATTTAGTTAAACAAATTATACTCCCTCCAAAACACAAATTTAAACATTACTTGAAACTTAAAACATTAGAATAAACAAGTTAAAACTTAAAACATTAACATAAACAAATTGTACTCCCTCCAAAACACAAATTTAAACATTACATAAAACTTAAAACTTAAAACATTAGAATCCCCTTATACACATTTAATCAAATTCCATCTTGAAAATAGTAATAATAATAATTACTGATATTATTATCATTCTTTATAAACTCCCTCTAAAACACAAGTTTAAACATTACTTAAAACTTAAAACATTAGAATTCCCTTATGCACATTTAAATCTTTATCAATAACAAACTCCATCAAGAATAAACACATTAAACATTTAAATCTTCACCAATAACAAATCCCATCCACAAAAAACACAGTCCTTATCAGTCTCAATTATCCATTTTCATTCTCCATCCTTATCATACTAATATTATTATTATCAGTCTCAGTTGTCCATTTTCATTCTCGATCCTTATCAATCTTAATTTTCATTCTCCATCCTTATCCTTATCAAGCTCAAAAGAAATGCTTTGAGATCTTCCTTGAAAGATTGCTCCAAAATTCCTGAATCTCCCAACGACTCCGAAGCCAATACCTGTGAGGATTCCTTAAACTCTTTATTCTGTTGGTCTTTACAATTATGTGTTGCACGAGTTATCCTCTGTCCCCTCTCAGCTTGTTGAAACCCCTCAAGCTGAGATTTCCCATTTTCCATTTCTTCAGACAACAATTCAACCCTTGAGGATTGCTCCAAAGGCTTTATAAATCTTGCTTCTCCCGCAGATTCAGATACCACTAAATGTGAGGCTTCCTTAACCTTCTTCTGTTGCTGCTTTTCTTTACAGTTGTGTGCTGCACAAGTTGTCTTCTGCTCCTCAACCTGAGCTTGTTGAGGCCTCCCAAACAAAGATTCCCCAATTTTCATAAATATAGGCTCTTCAAACTGTAATTCTACATTCTTTTCTTCCAAGGCTTTAAACTTAATAGATGGCGATGAACATACCCCCAGGACCGAAGTATAAAAATCTTTTGCTTGAGCAACAGTATTAAGTCTATAACATATCCAGGTAGTTCACCACCATTCCAATCGGAACATCCCATCTAAACGAAATTCGTCTCTTTTTAAGTTCATCTGCTAAGAAAACAAAGTCCTTTCTTCTTCTTAAAATTTTGGGTGGGATCTCCTTTAAGATTATAATGTCTTGTGAGGCAATTTGAAATCTCTTCTTATAAAAAGCTTGTATGATTTCATTGCGTAAAGATCTTTTTCCAAAATAAATTACCACATCTCTTGGCAAATTCTTTTGCACTGCCACCACGGAGTTAACTCTAAATAATTTTTCAATTTCACTAAATATTTCCTCCTTTCTTTTATTCAAAATCACGGCAAAGTCCTTTGCAACCATCTCTTTCAGATCTCCTTGCAAAGACTCTCCCAAGCCTCTTATTCTTAAGGCATATTCCATTTGACCATATTGAAGCATAAGAATCTCATTTTCCATTTCTTTTTCCATACTTTCAATTTTTCCCTCCATTAATTCCACTTTTTCAGCTACTTCTTCCACACGGGAATTCAACTTTTCAAGAACAGAAGCAACTCCTTTTAAAGCCAAAACTATATCTTGCCTCAAAGTCTTATTATTTTCCTCTAAAATCTTTTTCATTTCTGCCCTAATTTGAATTATAACATTTCCCATTATATCTTGCAAATCCTTCACAATTGTTGGCTGGGCCACAGAAGAGGGTGGAACTATTGATTTAGGAGCTGTAGAGGTTCCTGGGCGCTTTGGAGCCATCTTAAAAAAAAAAAAAACTTACTCCTTCTTAAAAGTTACAAAAATTCCTTCAAAAAAAAATATCAAAACTCCCTCAAAAGAAAAATCATTATGATAAAAAGAAAAAAGGGAGTTTAAAAAAAAAAGGGAGTTAAAATATCCATTCCAATCATTAAAAAGAAAAGGAAAGAAAAGGGGGAGAAGAAACATCAAAAAGCCTGCCTTTTAAAAGTCTTAAACACCAAAAAGCCAGACTGTTAAAAATACAAAAAATCTTCTAAAATCCATCCAGTCATTAAAAAGGCAAAAAAAGGAAGAAACCGATCGCCGTTCTAGCTTCCCAAAAAAAAAAAAAAACGCTGGAAAATCTGCCGATCACCATTTTACTTTCCCTTTCAGCACAAAGTAAAAAGTAAAAGGAGAGAATATAAACATGAAAATAAATCTTTAAACTTAAAATACATATAAAGTCAAAGAAAGCAAAAAAAAATATCCTCTAATCAACTCTGTCCGCTTCTAAAAAAAAACTCACCAGATCACTTTAAGCGCGGAGGTGTTTGCAACCGCTTGTTTTGTCCCTAGGGACAAAAGCAGCTAGGAAGCGGAGACAGTCTGAACTCCGTGGGAGCACTCTGTCACCCCCCCCAAAAAAGAATGGGGGTACATAAGAGGCTCTACCACTATTCAGACAACCCTCTACCCCCCCCTTTGCCCGGGAGGGGGATTTTGAACTGCTGAACAGCTGATGTCTGCTGTTCATAGCGGTTCATTACACTTACCCAGGAGGACGGCTACAAAGTAGCCGCCATCGCCGTGCAGATCCACCGGAAGTCCCCTATTGGCTTTTGAAAGCCAATAGAATTAGACTCCATTCAAGAGAGTCTATTCTATTGGCTTTCAAAAGCCAATAGAATAAAAGGGAGTAGCACAGCTAAGGAAAAGGGGGAAAAAATGGCGGACTGCGTTGTTTGGCGACCCCCGTGAAATGGTCGTTCGACCCCAAATGGGGTCCCGACCCACAGGTTGAGAACCACTGTCCTAAATGGTTCATAAAGAGCAGGCCAAGTATCCTTTCCTTTGCTCTGGAAATGTTTTCTTCTGCTCCCTGGAACAAACTGCTCACATTGAATTCAAACCACTTGAGGGAATTGCCAGCCAATGCCAAAAGTGTGTTGTATTTTCTTGGCTGAAAATTGAAACAAAAGTCTTCAGTCAAAGTCCAAAGTCAACACAAACTTTTTCTAGGGATCCTTCAATGGTGATGTGGATGCCGAAATAAATTCTGGATAAATAGGTAATATGTGAACTGCAATTCAATAGATATTGAAATAGAAAGCATCCCTATTTAGGAACCCCAGATATAAATAACATGCTTAAATAACAGTTTGTATTGCTAAAGGATATGCAGAACTGGTCCAC